TATTCAGTCTCAAGAGATTACGATTTTTCGTGTCTTACCCAGTTTTACTTTTACCTCGATATTTTAGCATTGCGAAAAATTGTAAGGTAATTTTTTATGAATAAAATAGCATTATTACTTGAAACCCAAGTGAAAAAATAAATATTAACTTATATGTATATAATGATAATAATAATAATAAGTGTATGAGTATAATCACTATGTGCTATATAGCTGTTGTAGTGTACATAAAGTACAATGTATATATAAGTGATGTGTTTTCACTTGAGCACACTCGACGATGCGATCAGACGGACGTTTGTTTGCCTGACGGCTTTGTGAATACAAGAGAATCGCGCTAGAGAACAGGTGCTACAAGCTGAAAAGAGAGAATACTGCATTTTCGTTCGACGCAAGATCTTGGCCCCAGTACAGGAGTAGGTATGTAGATGCAAAGTAGGAGGCGTTTGATAAATCTCATAAGGACTTTCAACGCCAGTGGGATCAACGAAATTATCTTCTTGTAGTATTCTAGTGTATCTCAACAATATTCTGTCAATATATATATATATATTCATTAAACTCAATACATTTTTTTAATAACTACGCTCTTCATTCTCCTTTTTTTCTACTAAATACTGTGAATGTCTAGCAAAATGTAAGTATTTAATATAATTTATTACTCCAAAACTATAGATTGGATGGATATATAGATTTTTTATTGTAATATTCAAAATTCCATTTTAATATTATTCTAGACACATTGATTTTAAACATCAATTTTATTTTAGAGTGAATAATTATTTGATATATTTATAAAGCCAAAATATGTTTTATTGGAAATATAAATTAATGAAATCGTTATTTTTAGAAAGAATTTTATACAATTAAAGTAAAAGAATATCAATTTATTTTCAACAAAATTCTTGTATCGAAAAGAATTTTTTCTCCGTCAAGGTTCTTTCAACAAATTTATTAAAAAATTTGTGATTCATTATTCGTTAAATAGAATATTTATAACTGGAATATTATTAAATTCATTTGCAATTTTCTAAAAGTAGTAATACGATGAAACATTAAAATAAACAAGAAATAAATAAAGTCTATTAATACGTACAAAACACGACCTAACGAATTCTAAATAAACAAATTAAAACTTCAATATATATGATACGAGTTATTTTAATCCAGAATACAGTTTTCTCTGGGTGCTGTAAATGTCAAAAAATGTCTTTTTTAACATTCAGATTAAATCTTACTCTGGCGAAAAGATAATTAAATTAGACAACTTTTGATTCACAAACTATATTGAAAGCGTTTAAATGACAAGTACAAGTCACGGTACAAGAATTAGCGGAATATAAAACCGCATAGCTTTTGACATATGAAAAGCACAGAGAGTTTACTGAGTGCTAGTATAGAAATTGTAGAAAGTACTGACAGAATAAGGGCGAGAGATTTAACTTTTGGCAAAACATTAGGCGCAAAAACCTCAGTGGTTTTTGGCGTTATATCGTCGTTCGCTCAACATCAGCAAATGCAATTAACTATTCCGCGGGTTATTCTCTACATTTCCCCTCTTTCCTTTCCTCTATCTTGTTTCTACACAACATGTAAACTTGCCATCATCGAAAATTCCCAGAATCTCTTGGCGACTCCTTCATCTACTGAGAGCTTCACCAAGACTTTGCACTAAGTTTCTCTGTGGTTTTCATCCTCTGATAATTCGATTTATCATCAAATTTCTACACGGATTCAAAACTATTACATCTATATCTTGAACTTATTTATTCCTTTTATCAAAATATTTATTATTTTTATGATGAATTTTTTATTGAATATTTCACAGCAATAAATTTTATCCTGAAATTATATATTATACATTTATTTGTTGGTTATTAAAAAAGCAAAGTTAAAAATTTAGGATTCAACTTGCTTTCTCTACTCTAAATGTCAATAAATGAGAAATAAACTGCATAATAATTCGTCTGCACTTCAAATATGATTTAAAGTACATTTTTCTTTCTATTCTTCTGCATATGTTTTAATACTGAATCTGTTAATGCTTGTAATAACACAGTTCCAAGATTATATACTTTAAAGTAAGCTCTAGAAAGTTTTATTAAAAAAGTAAATATTCAATTTATAACTTCCTTCATGCCTTCTTGCTTTCAATATAAATCTTTCTTTATGTGCACCAATGTAGCTATGTTAATATTAATTATCATTTTAATCATCTTTTCCATCAATCATATATTTAATTTATGTTTTACAATTTTTTTTTTCAATTTATTTATACATATTTTTATATGAAAAAATTTTTCTTAATTTTTCTGAAACTTGTACTTTTCTCAGTTATTAAATTATAATTTATTTTTTCAATTCGTTTCAGAGAAATTCATCATAAAATTTAATTTCTGACATGAAATAAATTTAAATTCATTGATGTTTTGTTTTTTTTTTTTGTATTATTATTATTACTCTATTATTTCTCATCGCAGAAATGATTTAGAGTTAATCAAATCATCTGTAATTTTTAAAGCTCCATAAAATAATATTTCTACAATAATACCGTAATCATCGAGTATTTTGGAAATTGTACAAAACCCATCCGTGAAAGGATTATTATCATCAAGAATTTATTTATTATATTTGTTCAAGAGATTTTCCCCATTGAATTTTATTTAATTATTTACTCTAGCATCACTTCATATTTCATTATATATCAATAAACGATATTTGTTAATGAGCAATTCTAAATATGAAAATGCAATATAAAAAATTTAGAATGCAACTTGGAGAGTTTGAAAATTTGTTTGAACAATTGTATAACACCTGATTTGCAAGTGCGACACGTGTTACAGGTATTCGAAATAGTGAAATCTTGCGTGATTTTCGAATGAATAACCTGTGGAATAAACGTATACTTTTTTTTTCAATATTTTTCATTTTTTTTTTTACCAATTCTTTTGTGGTTTTTATTTTGTTATTCTATTGGGTTGGAAACACGCACATGCTGTAGCCTCGCAGGCACATACACAAGGTACGTAACCGCGAAACGTCGAAATAAAATCTCACTGAATGAAAATAATAACATACAATTCGTGTGTGCGAGAAAGAGCAACTCAAATACTTTTTATCGGATATTTTAATCGATTCATCGACTGAAGAGAAATTTTCTCTGTCTTCTGGGTTTTTTTCCTTTCTCCTTTATTTTATTCTTTATTTGAAATTTTGCTATATTTCTAGTTAACGTAACCATAAGACAGGATAAAAAAGTAATGGTATGAGCGGATAAAAGAGAGAAAGAGTACAAGGATGACGGAGATGTCTGCATAATAGATAAAAAGCAAAAGAGAAAGAGAGATGAAAATGCAAAAAAAATTCATGTATGCATAGATGAACGAGGACGCCGATTTTCGCCACAAAAATAAACACACAGTATTCTCAATTATCGTTTGAGCCTTAGGCTGCGGCGCATGCCATTCACCAATGGTTTATTTTTATTTTATTTCATTTAAATTGTATATATTCCTTCCTCCTACGGTACTATGGACCCACCTCTATACGCTCATTTTATTTCTATCGCATCCTATTTTTTAAACCGCTTTGAATACAGAAACGAAAATTTGCCAGAAAAGCATCTTCTAATTAATAAAAAAAATAACATTCCATTTTAATTATTACTATTGGTGTGATGATATTAAATCAATTATCGACCATTTAATTATTTTAAGTGAAATTACATTTATTTTTGTTGCTATTCTTTTACAAATGTCATTTTTCTCTCTTTTCAAAGAATTTATTTGCCATCGTACTCGATTTCGATCTTGAAGAATAATTTTCTTTCAAGGACCTCCTCCTTGTAGCGCGTCCTTGCTCTCATTCAATCTACTATCGTGTATATAGTTTGTTGAAATAAAACAACGATGTTTTATTTTATTATTATTATTACTATTTTATGTTATTTTATTTTATTAGCTATAAACGAAATGGAAAAGAAATATACATTTAAAACGTCTAGATTTTATTTACCAACATTGATTCAGAAGAATATCATTTTATAATAATTTTCTTTGTGTAATTTTTCTAATTATTTATTTCTTTATACAAATAACAGATATAAAAAAATATTGAAATTAACGTTTTTAATTAATTTCATTCATTAAAAATGTATTTTTAATTTTACAAAAAGCAACAGAGCAATTTGCTGGTTATTGTAAACAATTCGCTTTTCTCACAGTCGTTCATTGTTTACAAATTCAGGCAACACATAATGAATTTTTGTTATCACAGATGGATGTATACTATCCATGCTTGTTTTTCTTCAACGAGTATTCAAAAATTTATAGTACGAACGGTAGCCGTTTCTCATATCTGTGAGAGACAGGCGGCTCTCGTTGTTGCAATTAACCCCGCGGTAACTGTCGTTGCGTTGGACGGACGCGTATATCGAGATCGAGGGTATGAGAGAGATAAAGAGACTAGAGAAAGAAGGAAAGAGAGTGAGAGAGTGAGTTGGCTTGCATTTACGCCGGTTGCAAACGCGCGATTCAATTAACTCTCTGCGCAACGCCAACGGGATTCCCTCGAGGATCAAAGATTCGCGATGATCCGTTACTCCTCCTTTCTCTCCTTCGTTTCCGCTAACGAATTGCCTGCACTGATCGATCGTTTCGACAGACAATTATATTCGACACTTGAGTAAAGTAACAGAGAACAAGAGAAAGAGAGAAGATACTGATGAAATTTATCAGATTGAAACTCCTTTACTTTCCTCTTCATGTTCTGCTCTCTGATTTGACTATGATAGCAAATACATCTCCAACATCTTTTCATTTTTATAGTTTTTCAATTTCTCTTATGTATAATCAATTCAAAATTTTTCTTAAAAATTTATCTTTGCCGTTGGTCAGTTCCATCAACATCCTACTTCTTCTCTTAAAATGACCTATTCTTGTTAAGACACGATACATGTTATTTAAATTAAAACACACTGATTGATATACGTATTCACATACCAGTTAGTGGTAGAAGCAGAAGTAAAAATTTCAAGTTGATCATCATTCTGTTTCGTGACTTATCCATAAAATATCACCGATGAACTTGGTATTCTCGTCATCTCTTAATCGAGTTTCATTAGAATTACTTCAAGTTGTCCACGTTGATGGAAAAACCCTTCGACCCGGAAGTAGGGTCGTGGGTGAACAAAACAAACACCAGTAAATATCGTAGATTGATAACGCGTGGTTACTCGGCCGTTGGAACGAGAAAGACTGAACATAGTGTTGCGATTGAAGTGGCAAGAGACGATAGGCTTCTCCTGCCATTCCAATCTTACCAAGGCACATGAGTTGAATGTCTTTCGCTTTCAGTACCGGTCTATTCTCCTTCTTCTGTATATCTTCCTCTTTCTCTTTACAACAGTTTCAACTGTACTCCTTACAACAGCTATCACTTGAAAGAGGAGGTCATCCACAATCCGCATAGAAGGATGAGAGCTAGGTGAGGCTACTGTCCTCAATTGTCTTGCAGCCTCTCACTTAATAAACTCGATGCACGTCAATCGAAAATATTGAAATATTTTATCATACTTCTCGATGATTACTTTCATTTTGAACCTTGAATATTTCAATATCTAGTGTGAATAAACGAACAATGTAAATAATCATAATAACAATGATGTCTTTAATTTTACTTAAACTTTTTATTTCAGAAAGTCGACCAGGTTCTGAACAATGAAGAACAGTTTGATAATGTCGGAAATGTTGAAAAAGATATCAATCAGCATTTTGTATACTTACATGGTGTTCTACAAAATATTGAAGAAGAATTAATGAGGAAAGTTGAAGGACGACGTAATCATCATAAACAACATTTGAATGTGATTCAATCTGAATTACAGAAGTTAGAAGACCAGATACGAGAAGCTATTTTGGTAATTTTTTTATATTAATTTTGATTAATCATTGATGTTCTTTCAAATGATTACATATACAAAGATAAAAAAAACTTATTATTCTACAACATAAATATCTTTCGAATTTTTTATATTGATTTGTTACGTAGTCTGTATTTTATAATTGAAGCGTCTTGTACATACAATGTCTGTTACTACTCAATCGAATTCCAACAAAGTAATTATTCGCTTTATTTACAGTCTGCTTTCAACATAGACAAAGCTGCTAGCTAGTTTAAATATTAATATATATTATTCAATATATTTGTTTAAATATCAAATGGAATTCGTGAAATTTTATGACAAATTATTTTACAGACGGCTAATATAGCAAAAGAACAGTCTGATTGTGTTAATCATACAGTTATTATTGAGCAACTAAAAGAGTTCACCAAAGCACGATGTCATTTCGTAGAAACTTTAACCGAAAATCAATGTGATATCCAGTAAGTTTCTGCCTTTACTTGAACTCAACTCAACTTATTTTATCGCTAATTGCTATAAATTATATTTTATATAACTTTTTTTATTTACAGATTTTACACCAACTCAGATGCTATTGTGAAAGAATTGCAAAGACACTGTGTATTGGAAGTATCACAAATGCCAGAAAAGTTTCATTTAGTTTCAGAACAAAATTTACCTGAGAATTATCAGTTAGAACCTCTTGAAGAAGACAAATTGGATGTTCCAAGTAATTTTCTCATTACAAATTCCACGTTCTGTATTTTTTCATTAGTATTTCAATGAATTGATTAATTTTTTTTCTAAAAGTTTATTTTTAATAGTAACAATAAATAGAAAAAAATAATGAATGAATATAAAAATGTTTTAGAACTTTATCCAGTAGCAGAATTACCACCATTATCACCATCACCATCAAATTCATCACTATCTCCATTTCCGTTATCACCAACGTCGGGATGTTCAACTGGATTGAACGGATCTTTCATAAAACCACAAGTTAATCTTTCCTCAGAGCCACAAATATCAAAAGGTTACTTTTTGATAGTATGAGTTTTGACAATTTTCATAAAAAAATGGAGAAGATTTTAAATATAACAGAATTTGTTTTTGTTTAATAGGAATAGAAGTTATAATAACTTACATTGAACACCCTCAATGTTTCTATGTCCGAGAAAAATCGGATAATAAAATTTTTGGAGAGATACAAGAAAAATTGGAACTGTATAAAATTATGGATTCCTGTATTCCAACTGAAGTTGAACTAAGTAAGTTGACAAATAACTCACTCTTCTTCTATAAATTCAATGTAAAATTGTAAAAACACTTGACTTTCCACAGATGAAATTTATGTCGTTCTACATGGACAATCTCACAAGTGGTACCGTGGGAGAGTTGTGAATAAACAATTGAATCCAGATTATAATACATATATGTATGATATATTTGATATTGATCAAGGATTTACTGAATATTCAGTGAATGGAATAAAATTACGTATAATGAATGAAGAATTGCTCAGCATACCATCAACTGTACGAAAAGAATCATTATTTGACATAGTACCAATGAACGAAAAATGGACTCCAGAAAGTAAAGAGGCTATGGAACATTTAATTGAGTGGTATGTTTAAAACTTTTCATCCATTCACTTTTTAAACAGCTAATATATAATTGTATGAACAATACTAAAGGTAATTATAATTAATATTCCAGTGAAACAGGAAATCCAATATTGTATTATGTTGATTCAGAAAACAAAATAGGCACTGATATTTTGATTCCTTCACCTACTACATATCCATTATCTGTTCGAGATGGCTTAATATTTTTAGGACATGGAAAGTTTATATCAAAAGAAAAGCTATTTGTAAGATATCATTCAATTAACAATACCTATTGTTGTAAACTGATTTTATTAGTTAACTTTTTACCCACAGATACTGAATCCATTGTCAACAAATGCATTCACTTATGAGACATTACCTCTAGAACAATATATCGAAGTAGTTTGTGCATATGTCGAATCACCAAATTGTTTTTATGTCCAAAAAGTACATCATAAATCTATTTCTTATGATAATATGATAAAACAAATGACTGAAGATTACCGCAAAACAAGAAGAACCCGAGGAATAATTTACAATCCAGATGTTGGTAAGTTCTTTTATCAATATTTTAATTCAAAGTTTTTAAATAAATATTTATTTATAGGCATGAACGTGGTTGCACCATTAGAAAACTTCTGGTATCGTGGCGTAATTACTAAAATTCTCGAAAACAAAACAGTAGTTGTATTCTTTGTGGACCTTGGAACAACCCATTCCTTACATTATAAGAAAATACGTAAACTAGATTCACGTTACGCTCGTATCACACCATTGGTAAGGTTTTATTTGCTTTTATCTAAAAAATTAATTAATTTGAATATATATATATTTAATATCATGAATTTAGTATTTTATTGACATTATCATATCAAAAATTGAAAATCGATAACAGGCTACTAGAATTTTTTTTTATTGATAGGCTATTAAAGTTTCCCTCAAAGACGTCCAACCGGCCAAAGGGCAAAAGTGGTCGATAGAAGTGAATCATGCTATAACAATGTTCATGGAACCAATGGCAAGAATATTAATATACGAAAAAAAAAATGATTGCTATATAGTTGATGTTATCAATGAACATAATGAAACCTTGGCAAATCATTTAGAAGTGAATGGTTATGTTGTACCAAAAGCAATTAAGAAAACAACAAACGTTTCTAAAAAACCCAAAAATAATAACAAAAAGAAAAAGGTTAGCAAACATTTGGATTTATTCCATGCATATGTTAATTCATTGACGGATAATAGAAATAACTCAGAAACAAATGATTTTCCGATCGCAAAAATAAATAATAAATCGAAGGAAAAACCAGAAGAGAATGATCCGTTTAAAGTAAGAGTAATTATAGAAAAAGTTGTATCACCTGATGAAATTTATGTATCAAAGGCAAGTAGTTCGGAAAGTCCATTTCAAACGTTACACGAGATTGTTAATAATTTTTATATGAAAAATCGAGCAGTCAATTCTATACAATTTAAAGAAGACCTTATTTGTGTAGCATATATAGATGAATATAATGCGTATTATCGAGTCAAAATAACCAAATATGATCCACCGAAAAATATTGAAGTAAAACTTTTAGATATGAGAGGAATAAAGAAAATTGTATCAGAAGATAAACTTCAAGCTTTACATATTTCTTTTTTTGACACTCCAATTACTTCATTAAAAGTAAAATTGGGAGGAATACTACCGTGTGGTGGAACTTCAACATGGCAATCAACATCTTGTGCAAAGCTTCAAGAAATAATTACAGAAAATCAAAACTGTGAATTTTATATAACCAAAGTATCTACTGAATCAGACAAAGAAGAAAATCAAGATGATGATGATGATGATGATACAATAGTCGTTGATTTATATGTAAAACAAATTAAAATTCATGATCCTCTAGCACCAGATAAAATTTATTATACTTTGGTTAATCGTGTATTAGTGGAAGAAGGATTAGCTTTGCCAATTAAAAATTATGATGAAAATAAATCGAAAATTTCACTATTAAATATTCAACATCACTTTGAATGTGATGACAACAATCAAGATGGTAATTTTATTCCTGTAAAAGACGAAAATGATTCAGAGCCTGATGATTTATTCCAAGATCCTCCACATGATCTTTCTAAATCATTTCCACCTAACAAAAGATCTTGGTTACCACCGGAAAAGTTTACAGAAAAAGAATTCATAGCTTTTCCTACCTATGTTGATTGGGATGGATTTGTTTACTTACATTCAATAAATCAAAATAGTCATATAATAAAAAATATTGAAAATGACTTAAATACTTATTATCAAACAAGTCAATATTGTCCTGAAATTGATTCTAATTGGGCTCCAGGAGATATGTGCATTGCTAAATTCCGTAATAACATGTGGGGTAGAGCTGTAGTCCATGAAGTGAAACGTAAAAAAATAGCTTTAGAATTTATTGATTATGGAACTATGGACTGGCAAGATCCAGAATCATTGAGAAGAAACATATGTCTACAAAATATACCTAAACAATGTACTAAATGTAAAATTTGGAAATTAAATCCTGCACATGCTGATAAAAAATGGACTAATGAAGATCTACAATTATTACACTTTACTTTGGTAGATAAACAGTGTATAGCTAAAATGTTACGTTTATCATCAGAGTACGTGACAATTTCAGTTGATTTAATTGAGGAAGGCACTAGTTATGATTTAATACCATATCTTATAGATAAATACAATTTAAAACTTGATCGTTCCGAAAGTCTTGACGACCATGGAATTGATGCATGGCAAGAAAATATTCTAGTTAATGGAAACGATCCTGATGTTATAATCTATGAATACAGTGATGCCACTGATGACGATGATAATACAATAAACAACTATTTAAATGTAGCTGAAGATGACACTTTGAGTGATGTGACTGAAAAACTAAATTCAGATTTTACTATGGATCTAAAAAGTGAGGACTACAGTCGTATAGCAAAAGAAATTGATTATTCTCCAGAGCTCCTAGAGAAATTTTGTATAGACATAGTGGTAAACGGAGAAGCCATTTTTTCTGACGGCAATAATTATGTTTCATTTCCTATATCATATAATCTTGATTCCTTTAATGCTACTATCAGTGAAGTAGATCCACAGCAGCCTAATTTAGTTTGGCTTCATCCTCTTTCTGCACCAGGCAATCATTTAATTAATATTTTAACCATTAAATATCAATACTTATTTCAAGAATTATATGCAAGTGCTAGTAGTCAACCGATGTTAACTGATTTAAAAAAAGGAGATCCATGTGTTGCTCTATATCATGACGATAACTGTTGGTATAGATGCACAATTATTAATTCAGATATGGATAAACTTGTTCAAGTACAATTCGTTGACTGGGGAAATACTGATTGGGTTTCATATAACGATATTCGTAAAATAAAACCTTGCTGGTTGAGTTTACCAAAAATGGCTGTAAAATGTAAACTTTGGAATACTAAATTGAATAACAAGGCTATTGGAGCTCGTGAATGGCTGAAAAAAGCTTCAGCTAATAAAGTTTTCGTTGCTTATGTACAAAATGTCACTCAAAATCCATTAGTAGTTCAATTATTCAGTGACTCATTAAATAATCAAACTTTATTTTATCAATCTTTGATTGATCAAGGTCTTTTTAGTTCTGAAGACGTAAATTTATAAGCTTAAATTTTTATTTAATAATTATTAAGTAAGTTATTCAATAACTTTATAAACCAAAACATTCCAAAAAAATTATCATTTAGATTTTTTATGTTTGAAATACGTTTAATTATTGTTTATTGCTCAGATGCAAGAGTATCCAAGTGTTTTATATGCGTTTTCTTTGATAAATAAAGGAATTTAAACTTTTTATTTTGTCAATTCATTGTTGTTTTATTATTTGATTTATTACAAAAAATTATCATTATTTTTTATGAAAAAATTTATTATTTCAGTAATTTCATCGCTGTGTACTTTTGGCAATTTGCTCCTTCAACACTAAAATACTTTGTTTTTGTTCCGGTGGTAACATGGCAATTTGTTCATCTGAGAGTTGTAACACTTGCATTATTAACGCAGCCTATGAAAAATACAAAAATTTATTAAACATGATCATATTAATTAATTTTGTTGAAAGTCTAATTTATATTTAACAAAAATATACTTTTTCTTGATCTGAAGCGCCACTAGGAATATTTCCAGCAGATGACATTCCAGCCATAAGTCTAGATGTAGTTGCAGCATTAGGTGGAACAACAAGTCCAGGTGTTGTAGGTACTACAGTCAAAGTATTATTAACTACTGGTGGTGGTACAGTTGATGCTATAACTGGTCTTGGGACCGCAGGTGGTGGCACTATTGGTGCTACAGCTAAAAAAATTATTTAATTATTAAATTATCTGACTTTAAAATCTAATTTGTAAACAACTTTTTTAACACAACACAACACTGACGAGTAGTATTTTTACTTATTCTTGGATCGATAGGCATCCTTGGATCTCGTGGATCACGTGGATCTCGTCCAAATCTATCAGTCCTTGGATCTCTGCAAAAACTAATCACATTTTTTAAATATAAAAATTAAATGTCTAATACAGTCAATGATAAATTAAAATTATAATGTATCTTAACTTAAAAAATTCGTTATAATAATATTAATTGAAAAACCTTTCAATTCCATCCGCAGGTAAAACGCTGCTTGAAGATGTAGAAAATCTATTAAAATATATATCAATAATTCAAGTGATATGGTATAATTTAATTATAGTTACTTGTCTGGCAAAACAAAATTAGCTCCTCGAGAGTCAACAACTGGTGGAATAACTGGAGCAGTAACAGACATTGGTTGAGTTTGTGGTGGCCCTCGAAGATCCTGATCCATTCTTGCTAATCTAGGGTCTATTTGACGATCTATTCGAAGATCAACATCTTGACCTATTTTTATGATTTTATAAAGTATTAATAATTTTACTTTAATCTAAATTAAACTAAAGAGATATTTAAATGCATACCAGCAAAAATTGGAGCAGGGGGATTAATACTAGGTGCAGTTCTTGGGGCAGCCCATGGTTCTTCGATACGCGGAGGAACAGTAAGGATTGGTGGCTTATCAGATGGTGTTAAAACATTGGGTATTGGATTTGCTTTATGTAGCATACTAACTGCAGTATGGGGATCAACAATTCGCATTACAACTTGAGCTTGAAGAAGAGCATATGCGAGTTGAGGATTCTGAAGTAGCATTTGTCGTGCTTCATTAGGATTGTTTTGAACACATAGCTTCATTTGCTTCATTAACTCAAACATTTGTTCAGGGGGTAATGAAGCTACTGCTTTACTTATAGCTTCTGGTGCTTTATCTGCTTGAACAGCTTCACCATATGGATTTTCTGTGTTTTGCCCTTGAAGAAGACTCTGCATCTCCATACGACTTTTTTCTGTACAAGCATTATCAACTCTAAGTGTCCTACCACCAATTTCATATCCATTGAGATTTCGCATGGCACTTAATGCTGTCTCTTGATCTTTGTATTCGCAAAAACCATAGCCCTTTGGTTTTCCTGTTTCACGATCATAAACTAACCTGATGACAACAAATAATTAATGATGACTGAATTGTATTTTGATTGGATATAATTAAAGATATCTAATTAAACTCACTTGAAAGAAAGAACTGGTCCAACTTCACTAAATATGTCTTTCAAGTTTTCTTCGGTAGCTTCATAAGGAATGTTTCCAACTGTAAGTTAATATATTGAAATAGTCTTAATCGTGTTATAATGATTTTAAAATAATTCTGTCACTAATATTTAGGCTTGGCTCAAATAAAATTTATTTGGGTTATGTTTCAAGGATCAAGAATAATATTTAAAAATTATAACCGATCTTACCAAAAACACTACGCATCGATTTGTCCATTAAGGACTGATCAGATATTGTTGAATTACTCATTTTTGTTACAATTGTATAAAACTTTTTTTAATCAAATCAAAATTATTGAACAAGCCGACTTCTGTTTACTACACTGATGTGTCTTATGATTTAAACCCAACTTTTAGTCCATTATATTATCAGTGTTGGATTATTTATTGTACCTAAATGTGGAAAATTAAAAGATTACACTTATATCTAATGTAAATTTTAATTTTTTAATTAATTATTGTTGTTGAAGTTGTAAACTTTTCATTCATACGTGACTAATGTATAGTTTATGCTACATTTCCGGTATCTTCTCTCCGATTGGCTGCTACAGAGATGAAGTTCTTCAATTAATGAAACTATAGTATACGATTAATCGATAGCTGTCAAATTTTACTTTGGAGCTATGTTCACTGTCGTTGGTCATATGATCGTTCTGTGAGAGAAGGGCGAGTCCGACAGATCTGGGAAAGAATTTTCAATAGTTCTAAATTGTTGTAGCTAACTAAAATAATCAAATTACTAGCAAGATGAAAGGTTGTTTTTTTAATATCGATGGTGGTTATTTGGAGGGTTTGTGTCGTGGATTTAAATGTGGAATTTTACAACAAAGTGATTATCTTAATTTAGTTCAGTGTGAAACGCTTGAAGGCAAGTAAAATATTCATCTTCGGCAATTAAATATTATCAATAACAGATAAATATACACCTTATTTAATGTTTAATTTTTTATGTGAATTTGTGAATTTCTAGTTGCCTAATTTATTTTTATAAATATTAATTTGTTAATCATTTTTTTATAGATTTAAAATTGCATCTTGCTGGAACTGATTATGGGAGTTTCCTCGCTAATGAGCCTTCGCCTCTTGCCGTCAGTGTTATCGATGATAAACTCAGGGAAAAACTCGTCATCGAATTTCAACACATGAGAAATCACTCATTGGAACCACTCTCGCAGTTCCTCGATTTTATAACTTACAGTTACATGATTGACAATATTATTCTTCTGATTACTGGAACCTTGCATCAACGACCAATCTCTGAACTTATTCCTAAGTGCCATCCTTTGGGAAGTTTTGAGCAAATGGAAGCTATTCATGTCGCTTCTACTCCTGCTGAATTGTATAATGCTGTACTTGTTGATACTCCATTAGGTAAGTTATGATATTACTATCTTTATAAACGATCAATAGTAAACTCTTAATTCCTTGATTATTTTTAGCTCCTTTTTTCGTTGACTGCATCTCAGAACAAGATTTAGATGAGATGAACATTGAAATTATTCGAAACACGCTCTACAAAGCTTACTTGGAAGCTTTCTACAAGTTCTGTAAAGATATTGGCGGTACAACAGCCGATACAATGTGTGAAATTCTTGCATTTGAAGCTGATAGGCGTGCAATCATCATTACTATTAACTCGTTTGGTACCGAGTTAGGCAAGGATGATCGTGCTAAACTGTATCCTCGTTGTGGTCGTCTTAATCCTGATGGACTGGCTGCTCTTGCTCGTGCTGATGATTATGAGCAAGTTAAAGCTGTTGCTGAATACTATGCGGTATATTGGAAAACTTGAGACAACATTACTGAATTTTTAATCATTTAAAATTTTTTAATTAATCGAAATTGGATTATTGATTTTTTTAGGAGTATAGTGCTTTATTTGAAGGAGCTGGAAATAACCCTGGAGATAAGACATTGGAGGATAAATTCTTTGAACATGAAGTAATAATGATATCTCCATTATATGTTATTATCAGTTTAAATCATGTTGTAACCGTATGAATTTCAATTTTTAGGTGCGTCTCAATGTACACGCTTTTCTCCAACAATTTCATTTTGGAGTTTTCTACAGCTATCTGAAGCTCAAGGAGCAAGAATGTCGTAATATAGTTTGGATAGCAGAATGCGTTGCTCAGAAGCATCGTGCAAAAATCGACAATTATATACCAATTTTTTAATTATGCTGCCATCTAAATGGTTTAAATTGTATTATATATATTATTATAAAAAATGAAAATCCAGGAAAGAAATTATCAAAGTTCATCCAGCATAATTTCGCACAAAGAGGAAAGACATCAAGTAAGACCTAACATATTGCTTAATTATTCTAAAGATGGTATCTTAAGATGTTGACAAATATATACCTGTAATTTTATTAACAAAGTTATCAAATAGTTTAAGAAATAAGAACTCAGAAAAGTAACTCGGGCTTTGATTTTTTTCCTGGGATTCTTTATAAATGTCCTCGTGTTATAAATTATGCACCGTTGAATTTGTTTCTTGTCCGTCAGATGACAAGTATCTCGATTAAAAAACAAAAGTTTGTTGTATAGAGTATTAATATTCATGATAAATTAATTACTAAAAAATATTATTAGATTATTGTTAATTTTATCATTGAATATATGTTATAATAATATAATGCATTCCATTTTAAAAACATCGTGAACCCGAAAACGAAATATATATATATCATAAATATTGTAAAAAATATATATATGAATAGATGATATTTAGTTTAAAAGATTTAAGAATTTCTTTTTATTTAATTATTTAGCTATTTAGTAAATCTGTATCATTGATTTATTTTCTTTTTTTCCTTACAAATTTTATCATTTATCTTCTTGAATTTTTTTGATTCTAAAATCTCAGGATGCTCTTCCCAAAACTTATCACCAATAATATCATCATAAATAGGAGTTATTATACATTTCACCTTGGATCCTTCATCTGGTACATATTTTCTTATGAGTGTGGTGCCTTTTCTAAATATTTGTGGCTCATTATTATAGTTTATTCCAAAAGTTGAAAATAGTAATTCATTTTTAAAAGCTGATAGAGTTCCTCGTAGAATTTCTTGTGCCTACAGAATTAATTATAAGATGAGACGACGAATTTATTCCGTTTTTTTTCATAATTTTAGAATCGAATATTACCTCTTTCGTCGTCTTATTTTGCTTTTGAACAAGACTCCAGAAGCAGGTATTATATAAGTTATTAATATGAACATCAGCTTGTCGCCAAGACAAATAATCTCTAATATTTTTATCTGACGGATATAAAACTACTCTCCCATCAAATGCAGGAGGATATTGTAATGGAACATCTTCAAAGTATTTAGACCAATTAAAAACATAAGCTGATGAGAATAATGAATTTACATAAGTTAACAACTTGGTTTCTGGAAAAAAATTATTTTATGACATAAGTGATTATTAATGTTGTGTTAATATTGTGAATTATTCATCAATGTAAAATATGTTATTATGATTACTAATAAATAATTACCCCTTCTATTGAACGATTCTGTTTCTTTTTTGAAAACAAAAGAATATTCATCACTCTGTCCAAAAGCTAGAACAATTTCTTTAAATTCCTTCATAACTGCTGATGCAGCAGCATTCATCAATCCTAGAGCTCTGAGATCGTTGGGCTTACTAAACTTATGTGTATCACAAAATTTAGTAAAGTTCCATCCGTCAATTCTAATAACAATCCAACAATTTGGTAAACACATACGTTCACTTTCAAATTGTTTTGTATATTCAAATTTACTCTGTGCCATTGTTATTGAGGTGATAAACGATCGAAATGGAATGTTCAAAATAGTTTTAAACGCTGTGAGTATCCCCTGGTGCATTGACAAATAATTAATTTGTCTAAAAAATATAAAATTTACAATAATATATGACCAACACGAGACTCACGTAAATTTCTTGATCATGGGTGATTGTTTATATGTAAAGCTACATAACCTCAACGCACGTGATCTCTGGAAGATTGACACATCAATTGTTTTTATTGTTACAAAATTATAAATAGTATTGAATAATGTTAATAATATTCAAATTTGAAACAAATTATTATTGAAAGTTTGTTAAAAATTATTACAATCGTCATGAATAACAATGAAAAGTCTGTAAACAGTTCAAATATTGTAAATTCATCTGATGAAGCGGCAATTATTAATTCATTATCCAAGTATTTAAGTAATGAAGCTGATTTTTTGACAACTAAATCGAACAAGTATGATGTATTTTTTGAAAATGATCATCTATCTGTAGATGTATCTAACGCAAAAAATTTACCAGTGAAAGTCGACAAATTGAATCTCAATAATACAGAAGCTAATGCTGAAAAAATATATACATCTTTACAAACAGTTGAGTTTGCAAACCAAAATGTTGAAGAATTAAATACTTCAAAAGAATCAGAAGATTTTGAAGAATTGGTAAATTTAGAAGATGTAAAGAATATCGAAGAATTAGAAAGCTTCAAAGAATCGCAAAACTTCGAAGAATCAATTGATTTAGAAGAAATAAAAAATATTGAACAGTCTGAAACTTTAGAAGTTTCACAAAATTTTGAAGAAACAGTGAATTTTGAAGATATAAAGAATATTGAAGGATCAGTAATCATAGAATTGGATGATGTTGAATTATCACAAATTCAAAACAGTAGTCCTCAAAAATGTCCTTATCTTGTAATTGAAATTCCATCTCAAAAGGTCGAAGATGAAAAAGGAAATGAAGATAATGGAAAATCTGATTCAATACATAATAATACAAATTCTACAGAAAATAACAAAGATGAAATAACGTTTACTCTACAAAATTTAGAAACTTCTAGTGAAAGCGAAAATGATCAAAATTCATCGAATCTCATTTTACAATTATCAAACAACCAAAGTTACGTTAATTTTAGAGAACGGGTAAAAAAACGGAAAAGAAAAATAAGAAAGAAAGTTAATACGACTGAAATAAGAAACGATGAATTTAAAGTAGAAGATCAAACAGTCAAGTCAATAAATGATGATAAATCTGAAATTACATTTATTAGACCTATTACTCCCGATAAACTTCATACAACCAAAAAACTTTGCATTGATGATAATTCTAGTGAGCACGATTTTTTACTATCTAGTCCAAGATTGTCAGTCGTACAAACGAATTTAACTGACGAAAAAAAAATGAAATTTAATACAAGTCAGGATATAATTAACAACTCAGATAATGAATTTGAACAGATATGCAATTTTATAAAAAATGGTAGTTATGATCCTGCTCAATTGAGCATGGATACTCTAGAGTTATTAAATGAATTTACGGATTTTGATCAATCAACTAACGAAAAATTGTTAGCTGATTTAATCAACTCTCCAATGAGAGTCAGCGATCAGATTCAAGAAGAGTGTAAAAAAGTAAGTACTCCCGAGATCGAACAAGACATCAGGGATGCTTTTGGAATCTGTTTAAATAGCAAAGAAATCAATGATGACGAGCCTAATATACCAGAACCACTAGAAGACCAAATAAAACATGACAATTTTGTAGAGATAGCTAATGATGTTAATGCAGAAAGACAAAGTGAGAGTGATAATGAGAAAGTTTCTAGTTCTTATGAAGATGATGATTCTAGTTACCATGATGATGGTTCTAGTTCCCATGATGATGATTCAAGTTGTAGTGAGATTGAAACTTCTTCTGAAATTGATTTAGAAGATCTCAGAGAAAAAGACAGAAAAGTCAAAAAAAGTCTTGTAATTAAAAAAGAAGTCCGTAAAGTAAGTATACCAGTGATACTTATGACTTAATCAATTCATACGATTATATTATTTATTATTTTACAGAAATTAGCGAATTTTACTGTAAAATTAAAGCATGAAGTACCTCCGCAACACATGCTTGAGAAGACCATCAGAATGCCGCTAAGTCATCACATACGGTCGTTGTTTGAAAAGCATACACCAATGAAAAAGGGAACCTTCACTGCAAATGAAGATAAAATAATCAAAGAAAATTGGGAATATTTTTGTAAAGTAATGATCATTTAAATTTTTATTGCAATTAAAATTGACAAACTTGATAACAATAAATTATTTTATCATTGCAATGTAGGTTCATAAATGGGATTCTGCTGACGTAAAACCATTCTTACAGTTCAGATATAAAAGAAAACGCATGATAAAACAAGAGGAGGCAATTAATTTTGCACGATTCATGGCTAGAGGCTTACCTTCAAGATCTCTATTCAGTGTGATAGCAAGATTTAGACGTCTCTTTCGAGACACCTCACGGAATCTGTAATTATGACAATTTTTCAGTATAAAGAAATTTATGGTATTATTCATAAAACTTATAACATGTTATTTATTTTTGTAGATCGAAATCCGAAAGATGTCCTTATACAGCTAAAGAAGACAAGATAATTATGGCTTATTTAGAAGATAAAGAGATTGATCATCGAGACGAAATAATAAGATTAGCAAAACTATTAGATCGACCATGTGAATCAGTATACTATCGATGTCAAAGATTGAGACAAAAAAAGGGACGAGAAATGTTTTTATCAAAAAAAAACATAAGAAAACATGTTGACTGGGATATACCTTTAGCTGAAAAATTTTTAACGAAATTAATGAAATTAACGTTGAGTGATGATGTTGAAGAGCTGAAAAATGTATTAATTCCGCCTATAGTATGGAGAAAATTGGAAAAAAAAATGAAAATTTCAATTGATTGTTTGAAAAGTTTTTGGTTTAATAGACTTCATGCACAATTATTCTATGAAAGACCGTTCTTTCTAAATGACATCAAAGTTCTTTTGATTGAATACATGTATGCAAAAGGTATAACAGATCGTGAAGAAATAGATTGGTCAGAAATAGGTGAGTTATTTGATGGAATACCAATCAGTTATTTGATGAATGTGTTCTACAGTATGGAAAGATATTGTAATTCGAAAATTAAATCAGATCTAGGAGGTGAGTAATTGATAAAATAACTCATTGAAATAAAAGAATTAGTAACTAAAAATTTTTTCCTGTAGATATTATAGATTGGTTATACAAACATCGTATCAATCGAATAAAAATAGCAAAAAGTGAAAAATATTTGCCAGGAGTTATTTATAAGGATGGAAAGATAGAAATATTCCATAGATCTTATCCTACAGTAGAAGACTGTGATACAAATAATTCATCAGAAGATATTTGCTAATGTTTTTATATATTTTATAAAAAATCTCATTAATTAGTTCTTAATAATACAATAAAAACAAAATATACGATTTAGTATTTAATAATAAAAATGAGAAATTGATTATAATATAATGAATGAGTCTTTCATCCAATTTTACTTAAATGCTTGCAACATTTATAATTCCTTATATTTATTACAAAAGGATAATTAATTAATCTTCGTTTTTCTTGATTCTTTTTCGATCGCAACTTCTTTAGCTTTTTGATAAAGATGAAGGAGCTTTCCATCTTTAGCTAAAACTTTTAATAATTCAATTATTAAAGGAAGGTAATTATGTTTGCGACGAATATTTTCTAATTTATGACGCTTTGATTTGTTATTTTCTTCTTCGATTAATAATTGCAGTCGTGCTATTTCTGATGGATCAGTTGTGTTGGCTTTTTGTCTTTCATAAAGCATTTTTCTATCTGATATAATAGCCATTAAATTAAAATGAATTTCCCCTTCATTATATCTAAAAAAATATTTTAAAAATTATCGTCATAAATTGGTTACAGTAAATCAGAAACAATTAATGCTAACACTTACTTGTTAATTCTTTTTTGAATAATAGGTTTAGCAGCTTGAACCCATTGATCGCCTGGAGGACAAGGACCTAGATCCATGGGTCCGTCTTCAAGTCCATCTAACTCATATAATCTCCCATCAATCGGAATATAACTGACAAAGTGAAAAACGTCTTCATCTTTTGTTGCTTGTTTTGAATCGTATTCGAATAGAGTGTGTCTGAAAATAATTGTGAATGCTTACATTAAAATGCAGGAATAATTTTAAAAGATTTTGGAGTAACAATAATGATATATTACCTGGAAAAAGAATTATGGACTTCACGTATTATATCAGAGTTACTAAGTGCAAGACCTCTCATTGTAGCATCAAAACTCTGACAAAAGTTTTTGAATTCTTCTAAATTTGGCCCAATTGATACATCAGGATGTTTGCAATTTAAAAGAACACTAACAATAGCTTGTGTTGCACAAGCATTATTGATAACCTTTTACAATAAGACAAAAAATGTTAGTGACTTGCAATTTTATTTGAGCATTTAAAATTTTTTGAGTAGTTACCTGTTTGGCAAAAAATATTTTGTCTAATCTGTTATCTTGAACTAAAGTTCCCGCTGGTTCATCATCTTGGAACCATTTGAACAGAAAAATTAATCCATGAATAGGTCTAGAAAAAAAAATATGCAAATTGATATAAATACTTTAAAGGTTATGTTTATAAAATTTTAGACTGAATTTAAATTTTTAATAAAAGCATACTTAAGATTTTCAAATTGTTCATCATCAAGACTCCATAATTCTTCAACTTGGACACCTTTTGCACCTAAATGATGGGTAATAATAATAATAAATAAAAATACTCTCCAATTTATTAATTTTTACTAGCTTGAAAAAACATTAATAATTATTAAATAAATTGAAAAAATATGATAAACTAGTCAGCTAATTAAAAATAAAAATTTATAATAAAAATAATCAATTATTTGCTAGAATATTTCTTACCGAATTCACGAATTAATTCAGTAAAAACACCGGGATCACTTTCAATGAGACACCAATTTCCTGCAGAATCTCCCATATTTTAATATTTTGATAAAGTAATAGAAATTAATGATCAAAAAAGAACTTATTGAAATAAGTAACTAATAACATATAAGGATGATTTAGAGTTTTCTTAATAACAAAACTATTTTGTTTAGTTTTTTTGTTAACACATTTCGACTATTACAAAGTCTGTTGAAGTTAAGTCCTTCACACAATTGAATGGAATGAGATAAAAATAGGTGCATCCTTTTCTATTCGATTGTGTGAAGGCCTTTATTGCAATCATTCCATTGCTTTGAAATTGGTTAGTTTTCAATTCTAAAAATGTTACCAACTTTTATCTTTAAATAAAATTTTATTGATTTTTAACCTTCAACAATATCTTTATTATACGTTATAACATACTAAAATTTTATCATATTTTAATTTTTTTGACATTCATTTATTGCTGATTTTTGTGTATTTTAAAAGAAATCATTTATTGAATAATAATGATTACTTGAAAAGCTTATGATTATGTTTTCTAACCTGTACTATTGATCTGCGCATGCGTACAGAACATGTAATATTAGGAGTATGGCGTCAGCTGAATTCTGTGTCACGGCGATAGGATAAAATTAATTGATTACACGCTTATTATTCATAGTTGTTCACTTCAAAAGATTAATGTTTATATTTCTTTAATATTCTAATGAAACAGGTTAATTTTTATTATTATTATCTTTATATTTCTCGAATAGTTTTTGTTTTTATGCTGCTTAGTATGAGATTCTAAACGCGTCATGGCGGCAAATATATGTTAAAACTTCACAATATTTACTTTATGTCGTTATTATTACTAATTGAAGTTACACGATAAATTTATATAAATCCCATTGTTTTCTTTTGTACTGTTGACATTCTTCTTCATAATAGTAAATTATCAAAATAATTACTTTCAAAAGTAAATTTTATTCAATTGTAGCTGATCTTGTAGAAATAGTTGACAAACGATTCAAAGTGGTTATTTTTCCTTCAAAAAATAATCAATTTATTGTTCAATAAATAGCATAAGCTAAAGTTGTTTTATTTATAGATAATCTAAAATGCATAAACGAAGAAGAACATCGTCTGTGGCAAGTAGGGGAACAGAAGATGATCCTGAAGATGTTCAACCGGAGCCGACAAAAAGACGAAAAAAATTAGATCCTGTGAGTAATTTATTGTTAAAATTATATTTTTATTAAGAGTTAAAAAAACGTAAGAATTATTTCATTTACATAGTAATCATAAAATCGATAAATCATTTGTTTATTTATTTTTTACAGAGTGATTTGTGCCAACAGTTATATGATATCATAAGAAATCAAAAAAAGGAAGATGGAACTCTGCTTTGTGATGCTTTCATCAGAGTGCCAAAGAGAAGACAAGAGCCAGGATATTATGCAGTAGTTTCTAATCCAATAGATCTACTTAAAGTTCAACAAAAATTAAAAACTGATGAGTATCGTGATATGGAAGATTTAGCCGCTGATATTCAGTTAATGGTGAATAATGCAAAGGCATTTTATATGCGCACTTCTCCAGAGTACAAAGATGCTACGGATTTATGGGAATTATGTGTGAACACAAAAAATCGAATTATGGATGAGTATGAAGAAACAGAACCAAAAGGAAAAATAATTTTGAAAGTTGGTAGATTTCCTAGAAAAGTTAATGTAAAACAAGACGATGCCGAAGATACATCTGAAAGTTCTACGAATCCAGATGATGAATTTATGCAACCATTTGAAGAGCTTTTTGCAGCAGTTATGAATGCAACTGATCCACTCGATAGTTCGCGACCTTTACATTTAGAATTTCAACTGCGACCATCGAAAAAACTTTATCCAGAGTATTATGATATTATTGAAAATCCTATTGATTTAAAGACAATCGCTCGAAAAATTCAGGACAATGTTTACCTATGTTTAGGTGATATGGAAAGAGATCTGATGCTGATGTGCCGAAATGCTTGTCAGTTTAACGAAACAGGATCTACAATTTATAAGGATGCTAAAATGCTGAAAAAAATTATTACTTCAGCTGCCCGAAAACAAGATAATTCATCAAGTAGTATTTTTTCAAAAATAACGACAGTCCCATCGACAAGAAGTAGTAAAAGAGGAAATCGTAGTTTTTCTCAATCATTAATAGCACAAATTGCTAATTTACGTAGTGAAGATGACAGTGATGACGATGATGATGAAACAACTGAGTCCGAAGAAACGGATAATGCTCAATGGCAATTATTTCAAACAATAAGAACTGCTTCAAACAGTCAAGGTGTGCGAATGAGTGAATTTTTTTGGAAACTACCGTCCAAAAGAAATTATCCTGATTATTATAAAATGATTAAGAATCCAATATCTCTATCACAAATTAGGTCGAAAATTAAGAAAGGAGAATATGGAACTGTCAGTGAAGTTGCTGGTGATATGAATATCATGTTTGAAAATGCTAAAAAGTACAACGTACATACTTCCCGTTTATATAAGGTAATTATTTTAATTAATTTAGCCATTGATTCATTATAGTTATTTATTTAATCATTTGATTTCAGTGTGCTGTTAAATTACAAAAAATTATGCAAGAAAAGGTACAAGAGCTTTTAGAATTTGATCAAGACTCTGATTCGGACTGTGAATCAGAATCTAATTCACAGCCTAAATTAATAAAGCGTGCCTCTAATATTCTAACTCGTGGAAAATATAAAGACAATATTCCTTTAAAGAAAAGATTACACGCATTAGTTAAATGCGTCATAGAATACGTGGTAGGTAATTCCAATTGATAAATAAATTTTCACCAACATCACATTAATTGAATTGTTTTAATTGCAGTGTGAAGACGGTCGTCAGCCAATGTTGATGTTCATGGAAAAACCGTCAAAGAAAATCTACCCAGATTATTATCAAGTAATTAAAGAGCCTATTGATATGCTTGCAATAGAAGCAAATATAAAAGCTGAAAAATATCAAAATGAAAATGAACTCATCCAAGATTTTAAATTGATGTTCAACAATTGTCGGCAGTATAATGAAGAAGGTTCATTAATCTATGAAGATGCCAATACATTGGAGAGAGTATTAATGGATAAAGTAAGAGAATTAGGTCCATTACCTGATGGAAGAGCGATCAAATCCACAGGATCTACGCCTACGAGAAATGTTGGAAGACCAAAGAAAGTAGTTCCACTTCATTTACAAAAACTGCGGACCATGTATGATACGATTAAAGATTACCATGACTCTAAAGGAAGACAATTGTCTTTCATATTTATGAAATTACCCAACAAAAATGAATACCCTGATTATTATGAAGTTATAAAACAACCAATGAATATGGAAAAAATTGCATCGACTTTAAAAAATAATGGATATGAAACTTTAGATGAACTAGTGTCGGATTTTATATTAATGTTTGACAATGCCTGCAAGTACAACGAGCCTGATTCTCAAATATATAAAGACGCCTTAATTCTACAACGATTGGTGCTACAAACAAAACTTCAACTGAGTGAAGATGAGGAAAGTGTCATAGATGTACCTGCAGCAGTCCAAGAAATAATGGCAACTATTTTTACCGCTTTATATAATCATCAAGATGAAGAAGGTAGATGTTATTCAGATTCAATGGCAGAATTGCCAGAGCATGATATTGTTGATGGAAAAAAGGTGAGAGGTTTATCATTGGATTTAATAAAACGCCGATTAGATCGAGGAGTTTACAAGCGACTTGATAGATTCCAAGAAGACGTTTTTTCATGTTTAGAAAGAGCTCGAAGATTATCAAGAACAGATTCTCAACCATTTGAAGACAGTGTGGAACTTCAAGCATTTTTCTTACGAACTAGAGACGAAGTAACTAGAAATGGTGATCTTTTACATTCTCCTGCTCTCAGTTACACCCTTTTAGATTTATCAACTCAAGTAGCTGAATTAAAACGTGTCAAGCTTCAACAAGAATCCAGTCTTTCACCCGAAGAAGAAAGTTGTGATGGAAATGAAACCAAAGAATCTGAATCAAGCCCTGTTACGAGTGGAAATGGTAATGAAAACGGTGGTTCAATGAGTTTTAATCAAGAGCTTTACAGAGCTGGGGATTTTGCTTATATTGAACCTTCTGAAAGAGGTATGGAATACGGTGTCGTATTAATTGAACGATTATGGACAAATTCTGAAGGTCAACAAATGCTCTATGGTAACTTATTCTACCGCCCAAGTGAAACTTATCACATAGCATCGCGAAAATTTCTTGACAAAGAACTTTTCAAAAGTGATGTTCATATTGCTGTGCCTTTGTCAAAAGTTGCCGGAAGGTGTTGTGTTTTGAGTGTAAAAGATTACTTTAGAATGCAGCCTGAAGGATTTCCTGACAAAGACGTATATGTCTGTGAATCACGTTACTCAACTAAAGCTCGTTCTTTCAAAAAAATTCGAGTATGGAACTTTGATCCAGATCATTTGAAACTAGTCCCAAGAGAGAAAGTATTGGAACCTAAACGAATCATTTCTGTTTATAAAGAGCGATTGGAAAAGCACAAAGAAGAAATAGCGGAGCTAGAAGAGTGTGAAAAAGCAGCAGAAAAAGAAAGACCGAATATAGTACTTTATAATGTTGATGATACTGATAATACATATTATGAACAGTACAATACTTGTAGTGGACCTGTAAAAACTGGAGATTTTGTCTATGTAGCTACCGATGGAGGTAGACAACAAATAGCACAAGTAGATTCTATTTGGTCTACGAAAGATGGAAAAACTTACTTTAAAGGACCTTGGCTCCTTACACCATCAGAAATCCCCCATACCCCCAATAAATTATTTTATAAACAGGAATTATTCCTTTCTGTAGTCGACGCCACTCATCCAGTTGTTGCCATAGTCGGTAGATGTGCAGTTTTAGAATATGCAGAATATATTTGTGGTACGTGTTAATGTTTTTATTCTTTAGTTTGAATAAAATAATTATTTTTAATTATACACATTTATTATTTAGGTCGACCAACGGAAATACCAGAAGATGATGTTTTTATTTGTGAGTCAATTTACGACGAAACAAAAAATTTTATTAAAAAATTACCAACAGACGGATTAAAAAAATGTGGTCATTCAGCAGGAGTAACTCAAGATGAAATATACTTCTTCCGGAAGCCTTTAAATCCAACAAAAGTTAGTGAAAAATTTTATTCATATTTTTAATTAAATTTATGTGCTGATTATTTTATTCAGTTTTTAGTTTTCAGCTTAGATTTTAAATGTTTAATGCAATAATGCTTGGCATGTGTGCGTTATAGGTTTCAAATGATGTGACGCAGACACAATTACCAGTCAAATCCATTTCATCAAATACTCAATTTGAAATGGTAATTGTAAAAGAATTTATTTCTCTCTCAAGTCACTAATGAATTTTTGAAACAAGCAAAGATTAATTTCTCGCATGCCTTTTCTAGTGTTAAGCTAGAAGCTAATGCAGCTGTTTCATTTTTCATGTTTATACAACAATATGCAACACATGTTAGATATAATACAAACTATCACCGTTATTAACTTAGAAAAAATATTTGTCCAGTAACAGAAGTAATATTCTTTACGCTGCTATAGAGGTTTTCTCTTTGAAAAATATTCCAAATAGTTATTAACTGTGTCAACCTGTGCTTCTGCATGAATTTATTTTTATGCCGGCATATTTATTTCTGTTTTAATTTATTTCCATTCATAAACCCTGAATTAAGCAAAGCATCTGTAGGGAAATCATCGAAACAAACATATCAAAACCAATGAGCACCTGTTGGGTTTTATCTTTATCTTAAAGCAGAGTTAATTAAAAGCATAAATACTAGAAATGATTAAGTTATCAAAAAGAGCTAAATTATGGGTTTTCAAAATTTTTAAATTAAAAGCAATCAGTTTAATAAACATAAACTGAATTGTTTATTGATCGGCTTTAAAGAATTAAGGTAACATTAAAATAAATGGTGTAGGATGCATCACCATTACTACAGAAGCTGGACCCTGATGTACTAAGCATGGGAGTGGGATTAGGAGTAGGGGAGGACAGCATGGATGCAGGTGGACCACCGTCCGTGGGATCCACTGAAGCTCAACCGGTGCTCTCCAATGCCCAAACGCCCGTTTCTACTAAAAAGGTAGGCCCGACCTATCGATTGTTCATTATTTTTCATTGAAATGTGTTTAATTAATTTTTTTTTTTTTTTCAACATATTTTGTTCGTTAGAAAATTTTTTTATTTACCTGCCGATTCCTTTTTGCATTGATTTTAATTTTTTACAGAAATATGCCAGCATATTTATCATTCGACTTCGTTTAAAATTGTACATATTCATAGTCATTCATCTAATTCAATTTAATTGGATATTAACTTGGCTAAATTAATTAATAACTTTATATAATAAAATTTCCGATTTTTTGTTTTCAAATTAAAAAGAGGATACATTTTGTTTATTTTTTTTTAGTAATAGCATGAGTTATAATTTGTGTTTTCTTCTGTTTAGAAATCTACGGGTAAGAAATTAGTTACGGGATATATTTTATATGCGGGTAAAATGCGAACGCTGATTACACAAAACAATCCTGAATCGACATTTGGAGAGATTAGCCGAATTGTTGGCAATGAGGTATTTATTTATTTTCATAATTTTTTTTCCATTTTCTCTTATTATTCTTGTTATTATTACTATTAAGTTTATTAATTTCGTTAATTCATAATTTTTACGAGACTCCAAAGAAGTTTTAACAAACTCTCGTTGCCGTTTGTCGAGATTTTCATTTTTCTCCTTCAAAAATTGACACAACAATCACAAACAAAAATCGAAAAAATTATTCACATAAAGGTTCTATAAATGTATCGAGATAGATGTATCGGGATGTTCGTTAATTTTTCAGTGGAGAAAATTGCCAGCATGTGAAAAACAAGTGTGGGAAGAGAAAGCAATAAAAATGAATCTAACTGAAGGAGGTGATACTAAGTTAGTCTTTGGATCGACTATTGGTCCTCCAGATCAAGTATTCGAGTGTTGTTGGGACAACTGTGATTGGCAATTTGAAGATATGACAGATTGTATTGATCATTGTATTGCTGAGCAAACTGGACATGTGCAATTATCTTTTGTTAATGCTACACCCGGTAATTTTTTCATAATTAAATTAACTGATCGATTATTATATCTAAATGTATAGTAATTGTAAAGTAATTACAATCGCTGCATCTTATGTTATGAAATTTCGAATTAATGTTAATTTTCATTTGTTTACTCATGAATTAGATACCGAGTTCCAATGCCAGTGGAGAGGTTGTGGTAGAACGAAAAAAAATGTGCCTCCATTTCCCAGTGTACAAAGGCTGGCGAGGCACGTAAAAGAGGTGCACATCGTCAAAGGGAATGGACGAATTATTCCAGCCAACGAACGGAGCAAGTGAGTATAAAATTAAGTGGTATTTAAAATAGTGTATCCTGAACCGTATTGTTAGTAATTAAATTTTACTTTGTACCGTACAGAAATTATATGCCATCAAAGAGACCTACAGCAGCGTCTATGGACAACGGTGAGTTTTTGAAATATTTTATAATTAATAAATTTATATTTAAAATTTTTCCATTGAAATATCATCTTTTGTAGAAGCTTCAGCCACAGCAACACAAACAACAACTTTACCTTCAGTGAAACAACCAGATCCAATATTCATCGCGGTTCCTCCTCGACCAAGCCGAGTTTTACATTCGGATGCGTACTTAAGGTAATATAAATATAGTGGGAAATACATTATACAAATACAAATCTAGTGTATACTAATAGAAATATTTTTATAGATATATTGAAGGATTAAATGTAGAAAATCGTTACATATCTAATTGGGACAAACAGCTGAGTGCAACTCCAGAAAATACGCAAATACCGGATGTAGCGAAATTACCAGCAGAATGGTTGGGTAATGGAGTTGGTAATCATGGAAATGTCGTTAATGCCTTGTGGACACTGAGAAATATGATGATGAGGGACGTATTAGCCATCAATAAAACTTTATAGTTTATAAAATGTTAACGATCTATGTTCGTTCATAATTAATGGCATAAATATTATGCTACACCTTGACAACTAATTCTTCGGCCTCTCTTTCACTCTTGTCTCTATCTCTTTTTCTCTCTCCGATTAATTATAATGACAGTAATAATAAATTATGGTAAAAGACTGACGGTAAAAAAACTCAAATTACAATCTTGGTAAAGTACTTGTCTCAAGTCTCATCGATATTCCTTCTTATATACCTCGTGTTTATTACAAACAAAAAAAAGCAAATTTGCTATAATTATCTAATTGATATTAATTAAAGTTAAAAAGTTCGTATGTTTGGGTTTGATGAGTTGTCTAACTGTAAAAATGAGTTGTAAGATGCTTGTGGATAGCTGATTGATGAGTTTGAATTTCCAAATTTTTAGTATTTGTTTATAAACAAAGTGAATATTTATTAAAATGTTGTAATACATGATTTATCAACAATAGTGAATGATAAATTTATTGATTAAACTTTCAAAAAATTGATAAACAATTATGCAAAAAAATTTATGATCAAATTATTTAAAATTTGCACCTATTGCAAATGGTTCTAAATAAATAATAACATTAAATTTTAACTATTTAATAATAAAAAAAGGGATTCTATTTGTAAAAAATATATTTGAGTAACAGAAAAGTGAATAGTAATGCCAGTATTTAGATATAAAATAGCGTAAGGACAGTTGGTATTATTTTTTAGATTAAAAGAACAATTGAAAAATCAACTGATTGTTAATTTTCTTTGTAATTTGGATATACAATTTATATATCACGAAATGAAGATGGTATATGAATAATTCAGTGAGTATCAAATTAAAAATCGCTAACCCGACCTCCATGCTGCCAATCTCCCCATTTAGTTGGTTCTGGTTCACTATCTGGTTGAAACTCTCCAGTTTTTGGATTAATTTCAATTAAAAGAGGATCTTGAAATTGATTTACATTCTCTTAAAATAATTTATGAAATTATTTAAATCATTTCATATTTTAAAAATAATTTATTTGTTTATTTTCACTTACGAGAAAATATTTTTAACTTTTCACGAAATTTTTTCATTCTATCAGATTCTTTAATTTTTTTCATTTTTGACATATTTATTAATCCATTAGATAAATTGACATCTAAAAGTTTTTTTAAATTATATAATCAATAATAATTATTCAATACCGTGTCTCTTACCTGTCGACAACAATTTGATATCGATTTTTTTTAATGGATTAATAAGTTTTCTGGAGAACATAATAGTTGTTAATTTTGGAGCAATCAATTTTTACAAGATAGAATTAATAATAACGAAATGATAAGTCCAATAAATTAAACTCACTTGTTTATTTTCACTTGTTTATCAACCTAATTTCAATTTAATTCTATATTTATAATATTTTAAAAATCTGATACACGACCTTTTCGTTCCCAATCACCATAACGTGTTGGTTCAGGACCTTTAGGTCCTCCAATTTCTCCTGTTTCTGGATTGGTATTATTAGGAAATGGTTTCAGAGGTTCTTTTTCCTGATAAGGATGTTTTCCTTCTTCGAATTCTTCCAGTTTATCTATTCAGCAATGATTATTTAATGATAAAATAACTGTACATTGTGTATTATTGAATTAATATTTTTGTCGCTAAAGGATAAAATTTTAGAAAATTTAGCTATAAATATTTTCTATTTTTACATAAATAATAAACAGATTAATATTTTTCTAAGAATCAACATGACAATTTTTATCCCAAGATCATAATATTTTTGTTACCTATTGGAGTAGTTTCACGTAATTTTTTCCTAAATTCCTCTAATCTCTTACTTTTTTTTTCATTTCCACTATCATCAGTTGCTAGAGATCGTATAGTACCTATAAAATAATTAAAAAATTAAAAGCGCCGTTTCTAACGATACAAAATTGACATTTTGAAGGTTAGTTTTTTATAATTTGCGGATCGATAAAACAATTACCATTATTAAATATATATTTAATTGGTGAATATTTAGTTGACAACTTAATCGTACGAAGCATCTTGATAAATTGTTTAAAAATAAAATTTTAATTATTGCTATCGCATTTTTTTATTAATACATCTAGCTATACTCTTTATCACGCGTGTAACAAGTTTGTTTACGTTTCCATATGATTGGAGTAAAATAAGTGATGTCAAAATTGACAAGCGTTTAGTGCAATTAATAATAGCACCTATATTTACTCTACATCTACAGGTAAGATATTTTTTTAAATCCGTTATGTAAATCAAATAACAACTATTTTTTCTTTCATATTCGTTTATGTATTCGAACAGATCGAACTTGTTTTAACCTCTATTCTTTTAAAAAAAAACTGAAAAGATAACTAAAAAATTGTATTTAATTATTTGCAAATTTCAAGTTCTAAGCCTTATATCTTTAAATTAATTATCCTTAAAGAAATTATAAAATATTAATAAGTTTTATAGTAATGTTGAAATAATGTGTCAGTATCTTCTTTACTGTTAAGACTTTGACAAGCATCATCTACAGATCTAGCTATTGTTGGTGATCCACAGCTAAAAACACCAATTTTATTTATCTGAAACCAAAAATCATTTTTACAAATGTTGAAATAAATTATTAAAAGAAAATAATAATAAAATTATTATTGAGAGTAATAAATACTTACATTAAGATGAATTCTTTGAATTGCTGAGAAAAATTGAGCAAAATTCGGTCGTCCAAAATGAGTGACTGCCATTAGACCAGTAAATAATGATTTATTTGACACTTTTTGAAAATGTCTTTCACAAATATACTAAAAGCAATTCTATTTGTCTATTCATTATATTCCAAAATAAGTATATTATATAAAATCATGATAAACTTACTAATAATATTGTTCTCAAATCAAACTTTTGATAGAATTGAGTAATGAATATATGAGCAGAAATCATATTATTTATATCAGCCTTTTCAATATCTCTCAAAATATCTACCATCCATTCAAACTGTTTCTGACTTCGAGTTACCCAAATGAAATAAATCTGAAAAAAAGTTTAACTCAATCATTTGACTTCTTTAAAAACTTACAGTTACATCAATCTTTATCTTTATGCAATGTTTTTTTTCTATTTTCTGATTATTTATAATGATACATTTAATATTGATAAAAAATTTTTTTTACTTTTTTACAGCTTATGTTTATACGTTGATTGGATTTATACACAATATCTTTTAAAATCGATGCAAATGGAGTAACTCCAATCCCTCCTGCTACCATGATCGACAAGTCGTACTTATCCCAATTTTGATGAGATTCACCATAAGGACCATCTATATGGATCTATTTTTAAATTAAATCAGTAAGTAAATTTTAATAAATAATTATTATATAATAGCTTTAAGAATAAGCATTATAAAGTCTAATATTTTGCATACTGGTGGTAGTATTTCAAATTCTCTTCTATTTGGATCTAATTTTTCTCGAAGATTACGTGTCCATGGCCCTACAGCTCTAATATGCACAGACAAAGTAGATTCATGAGGAGCAGATGATAAAGTAAAAGGATGATATTCAGAAGCATCTAATGATGGACAAGAAATTCTAATCCATTGTCCTGATTTATATTTAAAATTTAGTGGTTTTGGAAATATTAAATTAGTAACTCCTGACGGCAATAAATCTGCCCTAAGAAGTGGTATTTCTATCTTTTTTCTTGTCACAGAAAGGGTTTTATCAACGATAAAGAAAATTCCTGGAACTAAGAAAAAATAGTGGAAAAATGGTTCTTGAATCAGTCTACCACTTCCATGTAGAAAAATGAGAAGATAAAACATTGGATACAGCGTATGAGCAAGTGAAAACCATCTGTATAGTTCTCTCTTAACAATTGGAATTGAACAAATATATAATATTCCTGTTATCAGTGTCAGCAGTATTGATGTCATACCAGTTGTTGTTAACCAAGCCCAGTTGTGAAATTTTGGTAATTCATGAGATCTATAATAATTATCAAAGTTATAAGTAAATTTATAAATGGTTGATTTTTTCTACAAATATTAAGTTTAAAAATAATACTGACGCATGGAAATTGTTTCGAAATAAACAAGTCAAGTCATCTGCAGTTTGTGTAGAAATATGATAGAAATTAAATCCATGACCAATGACATGGAAAAAAGTAAAAGTTAATCCCCAAAAAGCCATGTACTTATGCATTTCAAGGGCAGAGTCGAATGGAATATAATACTGAAGAACGCTATCCCTTAAAATAGTAATAATATTTTGACACATCATAAGTAACATGCCGGAATAACAAAACATCATAGCTGAAGCTGATCCTCGAGTTATTGCTACTCCGTACCCCAATATTTGTCTTAATCCTCGATGCTCATTCAATACAGAATAATGATAAACTCTTTCAGCAAAAAATCCAAATAGAATGATAGTCCATAAAGTACACCAAAATATTTGCAACTGTTTATTAGCAATATACTTTATTAGAGGCTTCCAATAACTCTCTTTTTGCTGAGAATGTTGAATAATATTTTTATTTTCATCAATTTCTCGAGATTTTTTATCTGGAGCTTTGGGTCTGTATTCGATTTTTCCTTCCACTCTTGATTTAAGATCAATAGGATCAGCATATAAACTTTCTATTGTTTGTTTTACTTCTCCAATGAATGTAGATCTGACTGTTTTCTTTCCAGCATGTAATTTTCTGTTCGTGCCATCAGCATTTATTTTAAATTCTAATTCAGCATAACTAAGCTTATCATTGAATTCTCCTAGGATATTTTTAAAATCTTCTAGATCTATTGTCTCTTTAGAAGCTATTTGAGCTTGATCCATCATTGAGTGGATAAGAGATTCTAGTTCTACATCTGAAATGTCTACATTTACTGTTTCCATAAATGATTTCAACATTTGAGCGAAATCATCCCTCTTTAGTTGTCCTGTTCCATTGATATCATACATGTCAAACATTAATTTTAATTTATCATCAGCTGTACCATTCAAAAAGAGAACCAACATATTTAAAAATTCACGAAACGAAATGAATCCATTTTTGTCTGTGTCTACTAAATTAAAAATCTAAAAAGCAAAATGATTTTATTATTCATGTGTTTAAAAAGATTTAAATAAAGAAATATATATACCTTTTTAACGAATTCAGAATCTACTCTCATACTAAGAGCTTCAGCAAATTCTAACAATGTTAATTCAGTATAAATAACCTCCTTAGCCACTTTGGAGTCAATAAGTAATAATTCATCTTCTGAATGAGCAATATTAAAAGCCTGAGCAAAAACAACCCGAAAAAATTTTTCGATTTTCTTACGTCTGTCTTTTATAGTAACAGCTTGTTTGAGAATAGCTTTTAGAGTAATGCGAGAAACAAGTTCTCTTTCTATATTGATGTTCATCAAGAATCTTTCCAATGATGCGATCATGTGGTTTCGTAGAAATACTGAAGCAAATTTCAGAACTAGATCGTAATTATGTTCAATTCTTATAAGCAAATATTGACAATTATGTCCAGCGTATAACTGTAAAATGTTTCTATCGTAATTATTTTAAAAATAAAATAAATTACAAGTATAAAGAAAACATTAGATAATTACTGTAATTTTTCTTGATCCATGAAGATCTAAAGCTCGTAATATAACTCCTAATTGATTTTTCACAATGATTTGCTTAGTATTCCCATTGAAAGCTATTATAACTGGTCTGGTGGATGATTTATATCCAATCCATTCATTAGCTAGAATTTTGATAGTATTTTCATTAATTATAATAATTAAAATAATAGTCATCTATGTTTTCAAATTTTTTTATTACCTGTATAAATATTTGATGATTCATTCAAGTTCATGTGGCTTTTTTGTTGATCAATTTTTTTTACTCCAATATTTTTATTTTCTTTCATTCGTATTTGGCAAAATAAAAAAACTGTAAAACTGACAAAGAATAGAAATAATCCAGATAGTGTAAAACAAAATGACCATTCACTGTTTTCAAAATAATCATATGTTTCTGGATCAGTACAAGCATCCACAACTTCATCAGTAACTGGTGGAGCATGAAAACAATTTATTTTAATATTATCAAAAGTTTTACAATTACCTTCTACTATTGTTTGAGATCGAGTACAATTTATATTAATATCATCAATCGAAACAGGAACTTTAAAAATATTAGCAGGAAAATCAAGCTCTCCTACATCAGTAACAGTCAGTAGAATTTGATTAAAAGTCAAATCTTGAATTCTTTCGATTTCTTCTGGTGTAAATAATCCATTATGTGTATTTTCAAACCAAAATCTATCTCCATTTCTAATTCTTTCAAATTGATCAGCTATGATTGTTCTAAATAATTCACCAGGACCATCTTCAGTCTCAAGGATTCCACCAATCCAAATATCAATATCATCGAATGAACTGTTATACATTGTCAAAAATTCTTCTTTAATTTTAGGATGAACGTTTCTAAAGTGATCAATACTATTAACTCTTGGTAAATTATAAGCTTTTCTTGCTGTATTATAATCAGGTACTCCATGATCTCGAGCTCGTTGGATATTCAAAGCCATAAGATCACGCCTGGAAAATTCTAATGGTCCAAAAACGCTTCCTCGAAGATCTTCTACGATTTTGTGATCTTCTTCTTCTGCTAATTGCACTGCCATTCCCATAAGAAGCTTTTCTACGTCTATTGCTCCCTCTAGTCTTTGAAATTTATCAAAAAGTCCATTCTAAAATAATGATATCGCAACAATTAAACAATTATTACTAGTTGTATTATTCAGTTAATATAATCTTGATTAATACCTCAGACATCCAATAATTATTGCAAGTTCTGATAGCTCGTTTGCTCAGCTTCAATTTACATCCAAATTCTCCATAATCTCTCAAATAAACTCCAGCAGGTACTAGCGTGTGACCAAACCGAAAAGCAGCTGATTGGAAAAACTGATCGATTTGTGGATTAACAGACGCATCATATCCTTCGTAGTCAGAAAGATTCATTCCTAGCCATTGAGGTAACCAGTCATAGACCACGATTTTTTGTTGAGATGCAATGACCCATTTTCTAGCTTCATTAAATATTTTTTCTCCACCCCATTCTTGATGTATATTTTTTAATCGTTTTGCAATACTATTGTGCCATCGAAACCAAATAATTCCAAAAGTCAGTAGGAAGGGATTTTCATTTCCTCTAGGATTACCGAGTTTGAAAAATCTATCGACTTCTTCTGTGTAGTGACGAGTAGTGTATAGTTTATGGCGAGTTGGAGGTGGAGGATTTGCCATTGGTAAACGAACAGTATTATATTCTGGAAATTTTTCTCCATGAGAAGAAGCAAGAAGTCCATTAGGATCCATTTTTCCATTGGAATACATTCTTAAGTAGTTGGACCAGGCTTTGGTTGTTCCATAAATTAATCCTCCATCCAAAAATGGCGTTATTTCGTTCAATTGCTGACGAGGATTATTTGGGGAGTGTCCTGTAGTTTGATCATAACGAGTTCTTAAAACTGGCATTTTGGTATGACCTGTTTTTTTTGTATAATTATGTCCTTCTGGAATATCTATGTTTATGTATTCTGGTGGACATGCAGGTCTTTGAGCATCTAAAATCTCCTCGACAATATGTTGCCCAAAGAAAACCATCAGCACATTTTTTCCTGTTCGAGATTGACTTCCAATTGTCCCTTTCAATAATCTATCACTAAGTTCTATTGGATTAGGACGGTTTTTTCGGAGTTTATAAACTCCATCTTCATAAGCTGCTGGCCATCTTCTTAATAAAGGTGTATCTACAGCTCCTAGATCAGGTGTCCCTATATTATTATACCATCCATCGTAACCTGGGTACTCAGTTAAAGTATGTGATGATGACTCATCACTTATCAATTCTTCTAGATACACTGTCCTATCAATTTCTTCTGGAAGAATTCTTGGATGGTTTTCTGACACAGATGTATCAATTGGGACGCTGAACTCAGGCTTAAAAAATATAATAAAAATTTTTACTAATATAAAAGAAATTCGATAGATAAAAAATTAGATTATGATACAATTTATTTCAACATTTTTATTATACAAAAATTACCACCTATTCAAAGACAATTACATAACTAATTTCTTACTTCAGATGTTGAATATTCATTTTGTTGATTTTTATCTGTATCCGGTGGCTGAGACTGAGCATGCACATTAAAATTACATAAATAAAATATCAATAATATATATACCGTTTCTAACTTCGACATTTTTTTTTACAGAACAATATCAACGTATTCGTCATTTGAGTACAGTCTGCTGATTAGAGCAAAGGAAACTGAGTTGCTGAATGCCGGCTTTCAAAAGCCTTCCTGCTATATTGTGATAAGCATATATTCTTAGGAAACCATATAAGAATACATTTTATCAGAATTCTGAATAATCAGACAAAAACCATCTGTACGTATTTGAAAATATTGAGTAGTGAGAAAAAAAAACTGAGTAGAAATTTACACAACTCATGATCAAGACTATGTACGAACCTAGACGAAAAGTATTATGGTTTTCGATAATATCACGATTATTTATAATATTTTTACAGTTCATATTTAATTTATTATGTCCTGATCACCATGCAGATGCATTTACTAGTCGAATAAATCCCAACGATCGTATTACTAATTACGATAAAACAATAACTATTTTATTTGGAGGACTGACGAGGTGGGATGCTCAATATTTTATCCATATTGCTAGGTATGGATATACATATGAAAATACATTAGCGTTTTTCCCTTTATATCCAATATCTGTAAGATATGTCTCCAGAATAATAAAGAAAATCTTATTTATTTTTAACGATCAAAGTGTAGTATTGCTAGCGGCTGTTTTAATTAATTTTGTATGTTTTGTACGATCGTCAGTAATTTTTTATGATCTCAGTAAGAGAGTTTTAGGAAACACAACGACTGCTTACAAGGCTGCCATACTTTATTGTATAAATCCTGCTAGTATTTTCTTTACAGCAGCTTACTCAGAGTCGATGTTTGCATATTTGACATTTTACAGCATGATAGCTGCGATAAAGAATAATAGATTTGTATGTTTGCCCATTGGTTTATCGGGAATAGTGAGATCCAATGGTTTAGTAAATTTAGGATATCCTTTGTATTATTCTATCCAAGAATTATTTTTTTTTAGTTTACCAAAAGTAATATCAGAGTATCGACATCCTTCAGTACAATCAGGATTCATTTCAGAATTGTTAAATTTTTTTTCAACACTTTTATGGATGTTTAATACAATTTTATTATCTTTAGTTCCATTTATATTGCTCCAGATATATAATTATATTTTATTTTGTACTGAAAGAATTAATTCCACTGCAGTTCCAAGTCATGTCGTTAATTATGGCCTGATAAATAATTTAGTTATGCCTGGAAACAATAAGTTACCTTGGTGTGAACAAACAGTTCCAGTAGCTTACTCTTTTGTTCAAGAAAAATACTGGAATGTAGGATTTCTTAAGTATTATCAAATAAAACAACTTCCGAATTTTTGTCTGGCAATGCCAATATTATACATCATGTTAAAATGTGCGAAAGAGTATTTTATAGAAAATAAACGTCAATTATATAATTTCGAATTTCTAACAACGAATTCTGTAGAAAAAGTATCGATAACAAAACGTTATCCAGTACAAATGTTTCCATTTGTTGTACATGGATTATTCTTAACAATTTTTTGTATCTTATTTGTGCATATTCAAGTCAGTACAAGACTTCTAGGATCAGCTAGTCCTTTATTATATTGGTTTAGTGCAATTACTATGTCACATAGAGTCAGAAAAAGTGATAAAGATGAGTACGAAATTAATGATAATGCTTATTCGAAATGGAAAGTATTTTTCATGAACCAAAAAAAATATACAAAGAAAGATAAGTTATTTTTAATATATTTCTTAGGATATACCATCATAGGATGCTTTATGTATTCGAACTTTTTGCCATGGACATGAAAATTCCATATTTTCGATTATTTAGAGTAAATAAAATGTGAAACATAGTCAAGACACATTTTAATAATATATATTTGTATTTACTTATTTACAACACTATAGAATTATAGTGACTTGTATTTGTAATCAAAAGGTTGAGTAAATGAAAATGATTTTGCATGTGATGTATTTTTCATTTTGCACATTAAAATATTTATAGTATTTTAAATAGTATTTAATATAAGTTGTAGTAACAACAGCTTTTTATACATGTCAAAGAAATACTTAATAATATTTAATGTATTTTTGTAATATTTAACTTTGTAAATTTTAATAAACTAAATTCTAAACATTTACTTTGATTTCAGTCTTATGTTTTTATAAATAAATAAACTAATGTTTATAAAATATATTATAGTATTGATTTAACATGGGTTAAAATGTTTCTTTTTATGTTTAAGTATTTCTACAGGGGTAAGATACAAAGTTTCTTTACAATCAGGGCATTCATAGGCTTTAGAGTTTGGTTTCCTAACAATTTTTTTCTCAGTCTTTTCAATTTTTTCACCATTCAATAAATTACATGATCTCTGATGGAGTAACTTTTCCATACTTGACATAATCATTTCACAATCACATTTAGAACACTTCCATGGAGTTTCTGCCATTTCAACAATCAGTTTATCACTCCATTCATTTTCCATCAGGCAGTTATATGTAATATTATTCGTAAGTTTTACACCACCTTTAATTGAATTAACGACACAAGGGAAATCATCTTGAAAAGGATTAGGATTAATAATTGAATCATTATATCCTTCACCAACATAAATATTCTTTAAATCAGCTGCTAAAAGCCTTTTAATTGTGTATGGAACTGTGGTATGCATAAATTCAATGAGTTCATGACTAAGTTCATACTCTAATTCACTTAAGTTTTCTTCATCAACTTCTTGACCTTCTGATATTGGTGTTGATTTTCCCAACTGTTTCGCAAGAAGTAAATCCCATTTCTGTCGAATTTTCGTAGCTTTTAATAATAAATTCTGACCACTGTCAGGTATTGGAAATTCTAGCATCAACCAACAGTCACAAACAATCAATGAAAAAATACCATTCGTGTCAATTTCTTGAGCATAAAGCAACAATGTTTGTGCTGCCGGCATTCGAAGTGTATTGACTAGATAAGGCTTTGTAGTTTCAAGAAGAGATAAATATGTGAGTAACTGATGTTTTGAACTCAGTGGAGTTTTAGATTTATATCCAGGAATATTGACAATATCTGGCTCTTCAAGTTGTAAAACCTGTGGATGATTTCCAAAGAAGCTCATGGGATGAAGAGCAACAAAGGGCTTTGCTTTTGTATGAAATAATTGTTCATTAACGGATTTACAGTAATTAAATTCATCTGCTATAGCGAATTGAGGATAAAGTCCACTGCATAAAATTAATTTTAACATTGTTAAATCTTTGTAACTACAAGCAGTGCTTGCGTTCAATAAATTTTGAACTTGTGAATAATCATTTCTCATTCGGAATTCCACGTCTTTAATATCAATCTCTTCATCATCTTCTTTTTCAAGCTGCAAATTAAAGTCATCTACTTTTAATTGTTTTCGTTTTTTTGGAGCAGTTTCTTTGTAAGTTCTCTTGAGAGATTTTAAAATTTTTATTTCTCTATGTCTCATAGTTCTTTCTGTACTAGTCATTGATGAATTAGGTTCGGAAAGGGTTTTTAATAAATTGCAATCTTTCAAAAGATCATTAAACTGAGTCCTTAGCTTAGTCATCTCATAAAATCGCTGCTCCTCTAATCCACGTCTTTTACACCATTTTTTACTGCTGTTACGTTCTTTATAATCTTGACTGCTTACTTGTTTTACTTCCAGCCATTCTCTATAAGCATTTAACAACGTAATAGGATCTCCATGATCTGATTCAAGACTTTTTCGAGATGTTTCACATTCAGAATCTTTAAAAGCTCTATTTGTAAAAGGATTTTGAGTGCTCAGAGCTGCTGCAAGTGATAAAACTGGCTCTACTTGATGAAAAATTGATCCCATAATTAACATTTTTCCTATCGTAATATCAACAGGAAGTTTTGAAAGAGTTTTTCCAATACAAGTAAGTTTTTCATTTTCTGTCAAAGCTCCATGTTCTTTCAAAGATAAAATCGAATTTTCAATACTTTCTGATGGTGGTGGTTCAATAAATGGAAATTTGCGAGCATCTGGTAAACCCATTGCCATCATTTGTAGTAAAAGAGAATCTAAAGGAACTCGTTGAATCTCTGGAGTTGAATATTTATCTAATGCATTGTATTCTTCTTCAGAATAAATTCTGTAACAAACACCTGGTCCTGTTCTTCCTGCTCTTCCTTTTCTCTGTTCTGCACTTGCTTTACTAATCCAGAATTCCTTGAGCCTCTGCATTTTACATACAGAATCATAGCTCATTTCTTTGACTTTCCCACTGTCTGCTACGAATCTTATGCCATCAATGGTGATTGATGTCTCTGCAATGTTGGTCGAAACAATACATTTCCTTACACCTTCTGGAGGATAATCGAAAACTTTGTCTTGTTCTGCAATCGATAGTGTACTGTGGAGTGGTAAAATAATCCAATTATTTTTTTTTTTAGCATATTCTTTTGCTGCATCCACCACTGCAGTTATTTCACTCATTCCACTAAGGAAAATTAATAAATCACCTTTTTCTGTACCTGAAATAGAAAAAAAATTGTATTTTCTCGATCTCTTAATTATTTTATAAAATTACTTACCAGGATATTTTTGGTCAATTATTTGCATGACTTGAATAAAAGGACTTGGATTGAAGCGGTCATTTTTAAACCTTGTGTCTTCGATACCAGCAGGTCGATACATCAACTGAATGGAATATAACCTACCAGGAACTTGAATAACTCGAACATCTTCTTTGGAAAAATAGTTGCTGAATAATTGAATATTTATTGTCGCCGACATCAGAACAAGTTTCATATTAGATCTCTGATGAATCAGACATTTCATGATTCCTAATAAAAAATCCCCATACAAATGTCGCTCATGAATTTCATCGAGAACTATCACATCATATTGAGATAATCCAGTTTCATCAGATACTTGTCTTAGAAGTAAACCTTCTGTGATGAATAAAATTCTGGTCTGTTGATTTTTTTGTTTCTCGAATCTTATTTGATATCCTACTTCATTCAAATTTTCTGTTAATGTTTCAAATGCAACTCGTTTTGCTAAAGAAATACAAGCTATTCTTCGTGGTTGAGTACAAGCAATTCTTCCAAAACCTGCAGAATATAAATATTGAGGAACTTGTGTTGATTTACCACATCCTGTATCACCTGCAATTATCACTACTTTTTCATTTTTCACAGCTTCCACTATTTCATCACGATATTTCGCCACAGGCAAATTTTCTTGACTTTCTCTGAGCTTTTTCAATTTTGAAAATTTTTCTTTTTGTTTAAAATCTAAGTACAAAACAATTATTTCCTTAAATTTAGTCAGTTTAACTTCATTTAGCTCTTCAATTGGAGGAACTCTAGCAAACAATTCATCGGATTTGATATTAATTTTTAAATTGATGCAATAACTTTTATGAAACTCCTTGGGAATACCAATTGAATTTAATTCGAAATTTTTGGAAGTACTTTCCCCAGATTTTTCAAGCTTAGCTTGAAGAGCTTCATATTTTTTAACAAAAGCCCAAAAATCTTCTGGATCTTGAATCAAAAAAGGATTAGCAATAAAAACTTTGTTTAGTTCATACCGAAATTTTATAAATGAAAAGCTATTATTTTTTTCATTCTTTTCTTCTGATATTGTTTGTGAGGGTTTATTTGATGCTCTAGAGTTTGGACCATCATTGTTTCTACGTTGTTTTTTTTCTTGATGACTCAATAATTCATGTGAATCACAATCTTCAGAAATTTTTCTTCGATCTCGTTCAATAGATTTACTCCGTTTAGGTTTATAATTTGAATAACTCATTTGATTCAATATTTTTTCAAAAAAAGACTTCACGACACCCTACTATTTACTGTTTGATACTGTACGTACACACTATATATGCTGAAACAAAATAATGGAACCTAACCTTAAAAGTTTCCTCTGCAATCAAGCAGGAGTCGATGTTTAGAAACGCGGCTTTAGTATTTATATCGCAAATACATTTCAGTAACAATTGTTCAGCCGGGTCCATCAATAACAACAATAATGTCAACCCAATTAATAAAAAACGTTCAAAGAGTATCGAAGCTATTTCAACCAATAAAAATATTTCCAAAAGATGCAACAATAACAGGAGACGAACGAGCAAAAAGTTATAGGGTTTGGCATTTATTTGCATTCGTTATTAAACGATTTAATCTTTAACTATTTAAGATTCATTGATTTAAATGTTTATCATCCACAGCTGATGCTGGATATGGGTTTTATTCATCGAGAGAATCCTGGAATGTATAGTCTTCTTCCTCTAGGATATCGAGTGCTTGAAAAATTGACTGCCATCATCGATAATGAACTAGCAAATATTGGAGCACAAAAAATGCTTCTTCCTCATCTAACTAGTAATAATTTATGGAAAAAAAGTAATAGAATTTTGCCAATGGCACCAGAGCTTTTTAAGCTCAAAGATAGGCATTTGGCTGGATATATATTAAGTCCTGTAAGTCAGTTGATTTACGTAGAAACTTTTACTTATCTGTAGTTTATAAATAATTGTATTTATTATAATAGTAACAGTTTGTTTTTATAGACACATGAAGAAGCTATATCCAAATTGTTAGCAACATCTGAACCTTTAACCAAAAGCCAACTACCTCTCTTACTTTATCAAATTTCTACGAAATGGAGAGATGAAATGAAACCCAGACTAGGACTCTTTCGAGGTCGAGAATTCATTATGAAGGATTTATATTCATTTGATAGTTCTTTTGAAAATGCTAAAAGTACTTATGAGCTCGTTCACAAAGCGTATGACAAAATTTTTTCACAACTTGATATTCCTCACACTATTGCTAACGGCAGTACAGGATTAATGGGTGGATCTTTATCTCATGAGTATCATTATTTATCAGATATGGGTGAAGACGTAATTCTTCATTGTACTTCTTGTAATGAATACAATAATGCTTCTTTCATTCAAGAGTCAACCGAAAATGAAGAAAATCCTACTTGTAAAAAGTGTGGTGAACAATTTATAAAAAAATCAGGAATCGAGGTACCATCTTTATGAATTTTTTCATAATAGCATGAAATTAATAGAAGATAATAATCATAATAATTAAATATTTCAGGTTGCTCATACATTTTTGCTTGGAAATCATTATTCTAAAATGTTTGAAGCAAAGTATATATCCCAGACAGATCATATTCCATACGAAATGGGTTGTTATGGTATTGGATTGACAAGACTGATGGCAGCTGCAGTAGAAATGTTATCAACAGAAGAAAGTATCAAGTGGCCAAAATCTATCACACCTTTTACAGTATGTCTTATTCCTCCAAAAATACATAGCAAAGAAGCTGAAGCAGATCACCATGTTGACAGAATAATTGAAATGTTAAGTCAGAAAAATATTGACTTTATTGTTGATGATAGAACTAATTTAACTATTGGCCGACGAATGGTTGATGATAAAAGAACAGGGTTTCCTTACATTCTTATTGTAGGAAAATCTGCAACGTTACCTGAACCTACATTTGAACTTCATGATCTACACAAAGCTGAACAAGCTGATATGAGCATGAATCAGTTGGATGACTTTTTTGATAGTATAAAGAGAAATGTTTTAAGCCCAAGTAATCAAGATGAAGGGAACCAAGGAGAATCGAATTTGAAATTAAAATCACTTTATGTTAATATTAGCACTATTGGTAAATAAGTAAAATAAGTAGGTAAGAATAGATTAAAGTCATAAAATGACTTGTTTATTCATATTAATGTAAATTTTTATAATTAATAATTATTATCATTAATTATTGTTTTACTTTGACTTTGACTCTATGGTAAGCATTACACAATAACCCTCGAAGATTCCAAATATTTTCAAAATTCTCTGGTTGGACATTATAAGAAGCATCTACTGCTTTAGCCCAAATTTCAATTTCAGGGTTATTATTATTTTTGTCTATGATATGTTTAATAGGAATATCTGCGTGCCACAGAGTCCAGGCCCAATGTCTTCCCTCTTTTGCGTTTTCATCATGGATTAAGTAATCAGCTGTATGCCAAGTTTTTCCTTTGTCTACTGTCAAGTCAACTCGGATAATTTTTTTTCCTCCTCCAGACCAAGCATAGCCTATGATCAATTATTTAGTAATATAATGCATAAAAAAATTGATCGAAAAATCCAATCGTTAGATATAAAATAAAATTCATGTTTATTTACCTTTAACAGAAATTTTTCCATCTTTAACAACTACAGTGTCTCCAGGACATGGATCACAAATAGCTGAAGTAACAGGCATATCTAAAATAGCTGGAGACTTGGAAAAGTCTACATTATGCCAATCGATGTTTGGAGAAAATCCTTTATAATCACCTCTTTGGAATTGTGAAGGACTTTCTTCTTTCGATATCACAATTCTTGCTAGCCATTTCACATTCCTAGCACCAACTACTCCTGGAACTATTGCACGAATTGGAAAGCCGTGATCTCTTGAAATTGGTTGACCATTCATCTCATAAGCTAATAAAACATCAGCTCTTGGATCTAGAGCTCGTCCAATAGGAATACTTCCTCCATAAGGAGTTCCTGATGGATCTAAGTCTAGACCTTCGAATTGAATGTGCTTCCATTCATCTTCATTAATATTTAGGTCTTCTAATACATCACAGAGACGTGCTCCTGACCAAGTAGCATTTCCTACTGCTCCTACTCCCCAACTTAAACCTTTTAGTGGTTTAATCTGAAAAAGATTTTTTTAATATGAATTGTTTAGTAAAAAATTTTAAATATTTATTAAAAATAAACTTTAATAATTTAAGGCAATTAATTACAGCATTCATTTCTGATCTTCGATTTCCTCCGCACATTATTGATGTTGTAATTGAGTATTTTGGATATTTTTTTATAGATTTAAAATCCAATACTTTTTTTGTATTATCTTCTATTGAAATTTCTAGAGTATAATTTTTAATATCAATTTCAGGAACCGGTAGATGATTTCGAACATAGAAAATATCTCTAGAATAATAGTTAAAATAATTAATATAACATACCTTTGGAAAATAATTTGTATAATTAAAATACTAACGAAGGAGTTATAAATGATTCAGCGAGTAAAGGAGCTGGTGTTTCCCCACAAAAAGGTTTTGGTCCATTTACTATCAAAGCTTTATGCCTTTTAGGTTCATTGGCATATGGATCATAAATTTCTTCAGTTTTTATCGTTTCGGACTCTTCACTTGTGTCTAAATTACCAATTCTCATTGACTCTAAAAGTTCATAAATTTCCGGCGCATTATGATTAGCAAATATCATCCAAAAGGGTTCAATTGAGGCTCCAGCAGCCATCATAATTTTTCCAGGTCCTCCAGGATGCTGTTGTATGAAATTAGTTATATCATAAACTCCTTCTTTATAACAAACCCATATACCATCTTTTTCATTGTCATGTTTTCCGACTTCTTCTGCTGTATAAGTTTTCAAGTTTGGCTTCTTTACACCTGGAGCTACGTTAGTGTTTTTAAAAGCGTATGCAGTGTTCTTTTTTGATATATAATAATAGTAAAATCCTAAAATTGAAGAAAATACTGCTGCATTCAACAGGTAATGAGAGTAATTTTTTTTATCATGATTGGAAGAATTCGACGTATTTTTTCTGTATGAATGTTGTTGATGAGACGTAGTGTGTAAATAATTAACAGTATTTTTTAACAATCTGTTACTGAAAAACAATTAAAATGTTATTAAAACATATTTTTAATTTACAAAATAAATATGAATATGTTCATCATTTTAGTAAAAATAAAAAAATTATTACTTACTTAGTTCGATGTAAATTATTATTATAAACAATATAAAATATTTTTGATTTCCAAGACATTATTGAACTTTGAAATAAGCTACTCTAAATAATAAATTATAAAAGATAATTTATTTATTTTATGTGGTGCATGAAAAAATCAATTGGTATTGATTCTGAATCATAAATAATTTCAATGTATACAATCAGATATTAAAATTTTATGGAAATTTTTATTGTTATAAAACAAGTATACATTTTTTATTATATTTCACTAATATATTTCTTTAAGATCATTTGTTTTTTAGCAAACCACATGTAATAGCATATTGTATATCTCAAAATATCTTTTTTTCCCATTTTAATCGAATATTGAGATATATACTCTTATCGTTAGTATGTAGATGTGTGATGCACGTAACGGATAAGTAAAAATAATGAAAACATGTGTCCACTGTCAGCTGAGAAGCTTTTTAAATGTATTTGTGAAGATCGAACTAATCGGTGTTTGATATTTTTTCATGTAGTCACGGCGCCCTGTCATCTCATCATTTTTAAGGTTATTTGAGTTGGAGTATTTAAATCAAGTTCATTCACAAAGGCAGGTGGTAAAAGCTGTTGTTGAATTAAAAAAAAATAAGTTGAGTGATTAAATATTTAATAAAACAATATGTAAACAATAAATATATTTTACAAAGAGTATATTTGTTGAAAAAAATAATTTTTTAATAATTGTTAACGGATTTAACCTTTCTATTTTCGACATTGATATTATGTGTCTTTATTTTTGTATCTATTTTGGAAAGTAATATGTTAAACAATTAATAAAACATATAATGGCTATGAGAAAAAGAAGTGGATCTGGCTCGAAACGCCAGCATAAAGGAAAATTAATTCCTATTTATGAAAGTTTGTTTAAAGGAGAAGATGTAACCTTGGGACAACCTAATTTTTGGAATGAGTTATTTTTAATTAAGCCAATTGTAAGTAATATTAATAAAATACTTATTTAATTTTTTTAATAAACAATTTTAACAATACACATGACATATTGAATATTGTATGAATACTTTTTTTATTTCAGGTACCTCATATTGAAAGTGAAATTTTGAAAATGACAATGGACCAAATGACAATTAGTAAATCTAATTTGAATTCATTAGTGGGTCACTGTATAGACACATTAGTAGATGAACATCCATTTCGAGTTGTCTATGCCTTACAAACTTTAGCTGCTGTAATTCAATCGATGTATAAGAAAGTTAGTCAAAATGATTTCGAATTTAATTTAATTGACATCCTTGTGGGTTTGGATGTTGCAGAGCAGCGAATGACAACATTAATGCAGCATTGTAATAATTTTCTAACTGGAGAATATCCACACAGTTTGAAAGCTGTTTGCCTTAAACTCTTGTTAATAATTGTGACTGGAATGGATAATTTAAATCAAAACAATTTACTAGAATATGTAATGGTTAATGGAGTTTTTGAATCATTAATTCAATTATTAAAACACACGACAGCTCGCAACCGCCATGGAAATGATGCAGTATTGCTTTTGACCCTTTTAGTGAATTATCGAAAACATGAAAGTAATAATCCCTATATTGTGAAGCTTTCAATTCTTGATGATGAATTAGCTTTGAATGGTTATGGTCAAGTCATTTCAAGTTCTTTGACAGAATTTTGTAGACTTTTTGTACAACAAAAAGCAGAGGTTCAAGCATCCTGGCTTTCCTCTCTCACTAGTATAGTGGGAAGTATGTTTGTAGGTGAAGAAGAAGCTAAAACTCAACAAATTCGTGCTAATAATGCTCTACTTCTTGCTCTTTACGAAGCAACTCATTTAAATAGAAATTTTGTGACCACTCTAGCCTTCACTCAGAATGATACAAGTGCTCCACCGTCTCCAAATAATACTTTAGGACATAACGCTGTTGCTCCTGGATCACAACCACCGGATATTGTCGCTCAACCTTTCAATTTACTTGCTATATTTCTACAATACTGCTCTATAGTTATGCAAGCAATAAAAACTGAAGCTATTTTGCATAATGTTAAATTATGTTTCTTAATATTAAGCTGCATTGCGGAGGATCAATATGCTAATAGCCTGATGCATGATGGCAGTTCTGCATTTCGAGTTCAACTGCATCGAGTTCCTATGCATCACAGAAAACTTTATGATAAAACAGCACCAAGTCAACCTTTAGCTGCAACACTTTTAGATCTGCTTGTAGAATTTATTACCTCACATATGATGAAAAAGTTTCCTCTAGAGCTTTATCATCAATGTATTGGAGTACTACAGAGATTATTATGTTACCAGAAGAGATGTGGGGTACGACTTGGATACCAGTGGAAAAATCTTTGGACGGCTTTATTTAATTTATTGAAATTTTTAACTACTCATGAAGCTCATTTCATTAAGAAGATGAATATTTTTCCATTAGCAATACAGGTTTGATTTTTTAAAATTATATTCCACTATTTATAAATCATCAAATTTATTATTATTTATTAATGAACTGATTAATCTTAAAATCATAAATTTCAGGTTGTTAACATTTTAAACTTGTTCATTACTTATGGAGATACATTTTTATCATTGCCTGAAAGTTATGATGAATTATTCTATGAAATAATACGAATGAGACTCATTTTCACCAATTTAAATGCTATGGGTAAGCATATAATTAATAAAAAAATTAATTTATTATATTTGTGAAACCAAAAATTTATATTGTATTATTTAAAGCTTTGAGATACTCTACAATGGAGACGTATGAAAATAAAGAGCATGCCTTGAAGCTCATGAACAGTCTTGTTAATATACGAGATATTGTTAACCATTTTCCACCAAAGATATCTGCATGGCTGTCTAGCGAAAGTCTTTCAACTCCAACGGAGCAACAAATACTTGAAATTATTATTCAAAATTATGACTCACTTGCTTTAAAGCTCCAAGATAATTTAGATCAATATGAGAGGTATTCTGAGAAACCAAACCATACTACATTTTTTGAAGAAATGGTAAACACAATATATTAAATTACATTATTTATTGTTTATTATTAGTAAATAAAATATTGATGAAAATTTTCAATTTTCAGGTAACTTGGGTTATAATTGATACTCGATCTTCGATAGATTTAAACTCACTTGATACCCAAGCTATTCTTCAGGAGCTTTCAAATATTTCGTAACGTTTAACTATTTAATATGTCAATTTCATCATTACCTTTGAATACAACTTATTTAAGAATAAATATAAGAATCTTGATATTCTAATAAGAATATAAAAAATGAGTGCAAAATACATTTTTCAATATTATTATATAAATAAAAGTTAAAAGTGTAAAAAAATGTATTGTATAATATATTGCAAAAACTGAATATTTAATTATATACATGTAAATTAAACGTTCAGGTGACGTTTGATATAATTTTTTAAATTATCGCACTTTTGAATAAAAAATAAATGCATTTTTCGCTATAAATATAATCATTTATTACTGTTTTCAGTCATTATTTTTTACGTTCTTTAGCTAATAGAGCTATGCCAACTTTTGATTGAGATTTTCTTCCTAATTCATTACTAATCCAATCTCCTATTTTGATTACTGCATTTAAATCAACACCTGTATTGAATCCTTCATTATGGAGTAAATAAAGGAGATCTTCTGTAGCAACATTTCCAGAAGCTCCAGCAGCATAAGGACAGCCTCCAAGACCAGCTACTGAGGAATCAAAAACTCTAATTCCATATTCAAGACTGGCATAAATATTTGCTATTGCTTGCCCATAAGTGTCATGGCAATGAATAGCAAATTCTTGTAAATTTCCTGCTGTTGACAAACTTTTAATCTCCTTTAGAACTGAGTTTATTTTTTTTGGAGTACCTACTCCAATTGTATCTCCAAGCGATATTTCATAGCAACCTTCTTCTAACATTAAAGCTGATATTTTAGCCACAGATGTTGGACTGACATCTCCTTCATAAGGACATCCTGCAATACAAGAAACATATCCTCTAATTTTTAATTTACTTTCTCGAGCTTTTTTTATAACTTCTTTAAATCTTCTCATGCTTTCATCGATGGAACAATTTATATTTTTCAAAGAAAAAGATTCAGATGCTGCTCCAAAAATTGCAATCTCTTTCACTCCAACTGTAAGAGCACTTTCTAAGCCTTTTAAGTTTGGTACTAAAACTGGATAACTAATTTCAGAATTTTTATTGATGCCTTGAAATACTGCTGTATTATCTTGCATCTGAGGTATCCACTTTGGCGATACGAAACTTGTAGCTTCAATAGTTTTCAAACCAGTTGTGGATAGTTGATTAATGAGTTCTATTTTAATGGGTGTTGGAAGAAGTTTCGGTTCATTTTGTAATCCATCTCGAGGTCCAACTTCTACCACTCTAATAAAATTACTTAAACTTCTTACAAAATTCGATGACGTTCTTGGGATGAATCTCTTCGAGAACATTTTAAAAATCTAGAAAAAGAATTTTTCCTCAATTTAAATTTGGCGCTAAAAGTTTTCAAACAGCGCACTCTTGTGAAGAATTTAATAAGTTAGAAGTGCCAAACATAACCTTATTATTCTATTCCGAAAAGTTGATAAATAAAAATTTTCATGAGCTAATATTATAAATAAAATGCGAGTGTCTTGAATAATTTTATTGCCAAGTACTTACTAGAAAATTAATTTTAATAGTTATATAAAATGTTTCCGGCTTATATGCATTTATCAGCATATGATAGACATAAGAAAATAATAAATGATTATTTCCAACTGAGAGGAGGATCTGCACTCAATCTCAAACGAGATACGTATGTACACCAAACAATACGCAATATTTACGATAAATAATAATTATAATAACGATAAAAATTAGAATATTCTTTTTTCAATTACGTAATGTAATATCTCAGCATATTATGTTAAATTTGAGTACATTCCAAAATAACTTATTGTCACAATGCCATGATAAAAACAAAAATCATGAGTGAGGAGGTGCACAATTAATATTCATAATATAGTAAACCCTGGTTCGAACAGCTCTTGATGTTTCGGAGTGTGTTTCGAGGTCTCGGGACAAGACGGACTATGATGTTATCAAGGAGAACCACAAATTTCTTTGGGATGAGGATAAGGACATTCCAGACACTTGGGAAGCTCGGCTTGCTAAGAAGTATTATGATAAATTGTTTAAGGAATACTGCATTTGTGACCTGACTTACTACAAATATAACAAAGTAAGGCCTTATTCAATTTTTACGTGCGTAATAATAAATAGGTATATTGAGTTAGGAAAAATATTTTTTATTCCCGATAAAATAGCTAATATATAAAATCAAATGAATTCGTGAATTGTGAAAGAGTCATTAAATACGGTTTTTTACTTGAGTTGCAATTTGTTTAGTTACCACAGCCAACTTATTATCATTTGTTGAAATCTGTATAACATATGATTTACCATCTTTTTTAACAACTTCGATTTCTATGTCATCAACAATATCAGAATTAGGAGAAGTCAGCAATTTTACGCAGGTTACTGTAGTTATATTGGAATGATACAATAAATCGTCTAAAAATGTATTGAAATGTAGAGTTAGTAGTATAATTAAATAAATATTATATAGCACATATATCTAGCTATATTACCAATAAATTCATTATATGGAGCATCAGGTGAAATATCCATATCTACTAATTGTTTTCCTTCCAATTGTTCTAGCATAATATCAACCATTTTTATGAACCACTTATAGTTAAAAGCATTATTACCATCCTGTAATTCATTTTTTTTTTGCTCTAGTTTTTTGATAAATTGACAATTGTAGCAACTAAAAAAACTGAAAATCATTTTTAGTATTATTAATGAAAAACTATCAATTGAATCAAAAAATTAATTTATTATAAATACCTTATTAAAAAAAATGCTATGATCGAGTACTTCATCATGAACTGATAATAAAATATTTATTAACAATTTTTTAATGACGAAAAAGTAAGAAACAAAGTTTCAAATTATCAAGCTTCTTTGAATATTTCTTGGCTATGCTTAGTTATTTTATAGTATAGCTCTAAATGATTATATTTTATGTTTACATGAATTGCGATAATTTAATGAATTTTATGGAATATTCGGAAATAGCTTTATTAATATTATATTCCTTGGTTTTTGATAAAAAAAGTATAATATTCTTTAACACTAATCTAAATATTTTTTTATCATTAAAAACTACTTTGAAATGCTTTTATAAAAAACCATAAATGGCTTCCATAAAATACAAATCTGCATGCAAATCAGAAGATTGCAGAATGATAACGGGCACAGTATTCACTTTATCAACAATATTAATTTATGAATAACTTTTACAAGGTCATGCTGAACGTCAGCTAAAGTTATTTATATTTGATCAATTTTTTAAAAACTAGAGATTCGTTGTATGTATATCGTGCTCATTCTTCATTGCTTTGGAAAATTAGTGAAAGACGCTATATGATCTATTTTATAGTTCATAGAACAATTCGCTTTATGAAGTTAAAGTGCTTAAAAAAAAATGATAAGAATTTTTAAACGATTATATGAATTTTAGGTAGCTCTACGATGGAGAACAGAAAAGGAAGTAGTTGTTGGAAAAGGCCAGTTCGAATGCGGCAATAAGAAATGCCCAATTAAAGATGATCTCCGGTCTTGGGAAATAAATTTTGCGTATGAAGAGCAAGGAGAAAAGAAAAATGCTCTTGTTAAATTGAGTGAGTATAAATTTGAGTTAGAATGAAATTTAATGAACGTAATACTTTAAAAGGCCATATTCTTATTTGAAAGTTTCGGAATAAATTATTTCATTTTCTATTCATAGGATTATGTCCTCAATGCTCAATAAAATTGAACTATAAATCGCAGAAACGTGAAATCAAAAGAAATAAAGCCTTGAAACGATTAGGAGTAACCTCAGATCAATCCCATCCAAGTGCTTCGAGCTCTACAGACATTTCGGAAGTGACAGTCAAAGAAGAAAAACATGAAGCCAATGAAGAAGATAAAGACCGTCAAGGAGAATTAACAGAAGATAATAAAATAAAAGAATCAGAAATTTGGAAGAAAAAACCAGAAGAAGGTATTGAAAAATCTCGAGAAGAAGAGTTTGAAGAATATTTAGCTGATCTTTTATTGTAAATAATCATTCTTTATTACAAAATAAAATGAAGTTATAATATTTGATATTAAAGCAACAAATAAGTCCTTAAAAAACTATTTATATGCTTATTAATACAATCTATTGAAAAAAACTATATAATTATAAATGATTAATTAGAATAATATATTATTCGACAACTTTTATATTTGAAAATAAATTTATCATCAATCATCAATTAATCATATAAATAATCTGTTTTTTAATTTGTTTTTATTTCAATAAGAAGTTTTATCCAATTGTGCGAACAACAAAGATAGTTTGTATTTACAAATAATCTTTCTGGTAATGAACATAATTTGTTCACTTAAAATATCAAATTTAAGCATTTAATCAATTAATAAAAATGTTAGTTTCTTATGTCAATTTAACTATCACGGTCAATAATATAATTTTATAATTTGTTGATATAATTTCTAATGATCTCATAGAAAAAAGACTAGTTCTACATTAAAAAGTTTTTAAAATGCTCAAGCTCGTTCATCTCAGCCTCTAAGATTCATTATTATTCATAGGTATTAATTATTCAATTACCTAGCAATTTTTAAACGGTTTTCAACATTTAAATATTTTAAAAAGTCTCTTGTGCGAATTATTTCATTTTTTCATTCATGGCTATTGTTTCAAAAATCAAGATGAACGAACATCTATTGGTCACAGAGTTTATATGTATAAATCTACTAATATACCAGATTTGAATATTTGTAATTTATATACATAAAATATTTATGATAAATAATATTATCAAGATATAATTATTAGTATTGTCGGCTTGAACGTGATAAATGTGAGCAAGAACAATCTGAGTAGACTCAATCAATCAGTGAGTCTGACGAAAACAATAATTAAATAATGATTTTAATAATGAAACACTGATTATAACATAATCCATGACTGTCATCATTAAAATCATTATTGATATATTTATTATTACTACAATTATTATTTAGGCACGTCAAACCTGTTTTATTTTATTTAAATTTAATTCTCAACTAATGAAAATGTTAGGATTCGTTGTACTTTGGATTAAATTGACAATAATTAATCAATGAAGAAGATATTTACAATAAATGTAACGTTATTAATATAAGTAGGCGACAAAAATTAACAAGTTTCTGGTAAAATATTGAATATTCAAAAGAATTCCGAGCAAGAATCATTAAATGAGTAACAAGTTGTAATAAATGTATTGAGAGAACCACTTCAACAAACTATATTTAATTATTCAAGAAAATTCTTGACTACCTAAATGGTTCTTTTTACTTCAGTCTCTTTTTACGTTCCTATTAAACTCATGTTTGAGGTAAGAACAAATTATTTACTCTCTCAAACAATCTGGATAGTTTATATTACGTACAGGAAACTTCATATGATTCTTATTCTAGTTATCTATCGGTATATTCAATATATTAATTACATTCTGCTTTCCTGGATGACCGAGAAGCATTTTGTTTTTGAGAATCACTGTCTTCGTCACTGCAGTCTTCGTCGTGAGTGTGAGTAACGTTGCGAGGTGTTTCTGGCCTGGCATGAGGAATTGCACTGCTGTGATCTACTTCCAAAGTTTTCTGAATCAAAAGAAAATGAATCAATTCGAAAAATAACGTACGTATAAAATAAATTCAATATTTTTCAAGCCATGTAAATAATTATGTTACATACAGCAGCGATATTATTTACTTCTTCATCCTCCTCAGTAAGTTTGAATGTACGAGAACGACTGATCATTGGGGTTTCCATAACAAATCGTTGTTCATGAGCTACCGTACTTTCGTGAGGCATCTAAAAATAATTTATTGATATATTTATTAATATTCTACTTAAAATATCGAGTACGTGCTAAAATAAATTATAGATGGATAAACGAAATATTCACCAGCATCGCAGGTGCTCGGAACATGTAGGAAAATGGATAGTAAATGAGATTAAGGAAGGTAGCAGCATAAAGATCAGCATATCGAACAACTTGGCTGCTGAAGAATGTTTGCCTGCTTCCACTTCTGAAGAGTGAACCCATCATACCGTACGCCAAATCCATCTTGTGAGTCACATCTCTGATGGAAGCCCGAAGTTTTGAAATATCTGGCTTTTCGTGAGTACTACTGTCTAAGTTTCTAAGTAAAAATAAATAAAATAAATGAATTTGCGTTCGGAAAAGTTTCTAGGGAAACTAAATATCATGGATCATGATGAACTATTAAATTGATGATAAAATGCTTGCTATCGATCAAATGCAGATGACTTTGAAAAAAATTGCAAACATTTTAATGACAATTTAATAATTGAATCAATTACTCGATAAATTAATTCACTTACTTGTACATTTCTCCAAGCATTACATCAAGACTTTGGAGTTTTGCAAATAATTGACACTTATCAGTCCAAACGTGAAGTTCTTGAACCAGTTCAGGAACAATCAAAAATGTTCTCCATCCCCGAATTTTTTTACTTTTTAAAATATCACCAAAAATATGATCTCCAATATAAAGCACATCTTTTCCTTTAGCTCCAATCATTTCTGTAAATACATCACACGATCCACCGGAATAAACTTCACCTGAAATTTAAAAATAAAACGGTTAGAAAAAAATAACAGACTTAAGAGGCCTAGAAGCCTTTAAATCTTCACAAGCTTGAATAATTAATTCTATCTGTTTGATATTTCAGCAATATAAATTACCGGTATGGAGTGGGCCTCTGTGTGTTCCTAGCTTTAAGGCGCCTGTTTTCGTATCAACCTGACGTAAAATAGTACCTTCACTGAAAAATAAAGGTTTATTGGCATCTACCACAATTGTGTCAAAATAAGTCCTCCAGTTTCTGTGAGGTTCATGAGGCTGAAAAATTAAAACATTAATTTATTTTTATAAAACTAATTAATATATATTTGTCTATAAATTGATAAATGAAACTTACTCTTGCTCCATGAGGAAAATCAAAAAGATAAGTCATAATTTTATTTGTAAAATTATAGTCACTATTAGTTAAAAGAAAAACTTTAGCTCCACTCTCACGGATTCTAGTTAAAAACATGGGTAATCTCTCGTCTTTCTTCACATATTTATCAAGATTTTCGATAGTTTTAGTCTTGAGATCACCTTGAATATGAATCCAGTCAACAGCATTTCTAACATCTTGAAAAATACTCTTGAAACTCATTGTCAATTCACCCTCCTTCACTCCTTCCTTCTCTCGTGAGTATCGAGGCGAGTTCGTGAAGAAATCAATCAGACAAGCGAGAAGATATGTTTCCGGAAGGTTAAATAATGTATTCAGAACATATACTCGAGATTCATCCAGTTGAAGGAATTTATTTGGATACAACTCGTATACTTGAGAGCTGGAAAATAAATAAGTTTATACATTTTTTATATCTTCATTTTCTCTATTTATCTAGAAATAAATGACCATTAAATTTTTTTTACAGAATTCCAAACCAAGAATTTCTCTTACAATAAACTAGGATTTATCCAAGTAAAATATATATGAAATTAATAGAATACTGGTAAAAAAGATAAATACTTACTGTTTAAGAAATTCAAATCCATGAACGCATACCAGAATGTTACCATAAGCATCAACTTTTAATAAATTTCCATAAAGTGTATCAAACCACAGACCTCGAACTGGAAAACTTGGATCGTATTCAAATGCACGGATTTCATGGGGGTAACCTAGTGATATTAGACGTTCTTTTAGTAGTTCAAATCCTAACTGCTCGTATTGGGGAGATTTGTACTCGGCTAAAGTATAATCCATGTCGAATCCATAAAACTTGATGTTCTCCAAGTGGAGACTTCTATTAACGAAGATTCTACAACAAATAATAAATGAAAAGATTAATTATTTTAATTTTAAAATAATTTATTATTTATTTTTGATTAATATTTTTTTAAAAATCAAAAATTCTTTTATAAATTATTATTTGATAAAAGAAATATTTTCTAATAAAAATTTCAACCTCTTCTTTGGTTGATATTTTGTATCTTGATTGTCCAATAATATATTCTCATCATTATCATAATCCAAAAGTAATTTTAAAAAATTAAATTCATTAGAATTAATCAGTGACAAGTTATTTTCAAAAATTCTTCTTTCTCTGCGTCGTTGCTTCAATTTACTTAAATACTCTCCCATGACATTAAATTTTAGTGGACAGAAAAATCGAATTATTTCCCAAACAATTGAAAGATCATAAAATGAAGATAAACAAATATTAACAAATGAAGATGAAAAATGAATGAGCTGCAATTCATGAAAAATAAATGACTGAAAAAAATAAAACTTAATCAATGTGATGTTCCTAATAAACATCATTACATCATTCTGTGTAAGACGTAATTTAGAGAGATTTATTTGCAATAAAACATATTGAACAAGATAATGTTGAGAAAATAGAATGCTGCAGATTCGCTTATTAATTAAAATGTAATAGATATCCATAAGAGTTAATGGATGATGCAAAATATATTATTCTTATTTATTCCAAGTTATCAGTTTTAATGATCAGGATTCTATATCCAACCGGATCTTATTTATTTATTCACTGATTTTTTTTATTGATTCATATGCTAAGTATTCAATCATTCTTAAATCAATAGACAAAGAAAAAGACAAGCTACTGTCGTTGAATATGATAATGAAAAAGAAACACTGGCCATAACAGTCAATATTAATTCTAACCAACAATGAACAAAAACAATGTAACTCATTATTTAACTTTATAATTATTTTAAAACGATTTTTATTGCTTCCTTTTATGTTAACAATTAAGCGATTTTTTATATTTGATAACTTACTCATTTGGAGCAGCTAAACGTAAAGGATTTGATGGATTAGGGGAAGATGGTCCAGCATTCATATCTAAGAGCTTCATAATAACAATAATTACTGAAATGCTTTGAAATATTTATTATGTGTTAATAAATTAATGAAAACGTTATTTATTGCTGACAAATAGCTGTAATCACTGGTTATGTTAAACAATAAATTGTCCAATCAAAACATCAAACAAAGAATTCTCATGTCATCAATTCAATTAACCAACTTCACACATTTCTAGTCGAAACGTCAGATTTTTTGTTTTTGTTCCACTTGTGTTGCTCTCTTCAAGTGAATTTCGCGATAAAATATTTATTTCACAAACTGATAAGTGATGAAATGCTGTCAACATATGTAACTCTTACATTACGTCAAATCTTTCGACTCATAAACAAAAAAATGACAAGAAAATGATATTCAAAGTCATATGTAGTGCAGTTGTGGAAAATAATAACTATATGCGAACAGCGGTAGTGTTATAAGTAAAGTAACAATTTACACTTGACAAGCCAACGATCAAAGACTTGCGACTTCGCTCGCACGTATCTGACTGTTCTCAATAAACGTGGTGTAATGAAAGTTAAATCCGTGGCATCCTACATGTTGTAGGCATCGTACTCGTGGGGAGTTGATGAGTAACATGCAAGAAATTCCCAGGAAATAATGGTCAACTTACGTTGAAGAATTCGACATTACAGCCTTTGCTTTGAAGGGTACAAAGTAATGAAAATATTCTACTGTCAGTCAACAATAGTTCATCACTGTTGATAATAGAGATCATAAAATAATCTTTGACTCAGGGGGACTATGATGTGACTCACTAAATCTAGATAAGGAAGAGGATGAACGTTCAATTATTGTCAATTACTTTAAAAGTTTTTTAAACTAAATTATAAGTTTCTTGTTGCTTCAAGTATAATACAAGAAGGAATTTAACCCATTAAACTCTTTTTAATATTTATCGAAATAAGATAAATTATTTCTGCTGATATCTGATGATTGAAAATCTTGATACAAGTTTGCAATAAAACCGTTTCAGGAACTGATAAAATAATTTCCTAGAAACTTTAAAGGTATCGAATGTTAGAGTTCACCGTTTTAAATATCAGTCAGGGTTTAAAGTCGTTTTTTCAAGGAGATTTAGGTTGTAAGGTATTAAGACTGGATTGAAGTTCCAGCTATTATAAGTAGCTTTGTAGAAACTTGATTAATATTATCATTATTTATTAATAATTTTATTTAGTATTAATAAAGCAGTAGAATTTAATTTTAAAACAATTATTGTTATCAAAATTAATCATAATCTGGATTATTAATAAATGAAAAGATAATTTTACCATTTCTTGAAAACATCAAAGGAGTTGAATCAAAAATATAGATATTTCAGATCTTTATTATTTTTTGTCGAATTTACTTTTATTCTTTTATACCTCACTGGCCTACAATTAAAAATTAAAGACTAATTATTCTTACATTCATATTTAATAATAGCACTAAGAATATTCAACTTCAAAAGAATCTTATTAATAACCATTCATAATAGATTAGAAATAATACTGTTTTGAATATGTATTGTGAACAATTGATTATTACATAGCTACATAACTTATTAGATTAAAAACAAAAATATCTTTATTACTGATTAAAATTCCATTTAAGTAGCACATTGCTATAATGATTATTATTGATGATTTTTGATAGAATATGTATTGAATGAAAGAAGAAATATCTTGCGTATAGTGACGTGAATCAAATCACGTTTTCTTTCTCTTGAACTTTATCCTCAACAGTATTTTACATTGCCTTTCACGGTTACCTCGCGAGATATTTCTAGCTAACGAAGGCATGAAGTTTAATGATAGAGACTTACAAATTCTCTAACCAATTAGCACGCGATTGCTATGTCAAGATTATTCACTTTTACCCTCGCGTGACGCGATTTACAGATTTCATTGTATTTTGTTCGCCTCTATTTATAACTGGTAGGTCTAAAATTTTCTAAAAAAGTCTGAAGAGTTCAAGTAGAAATGAGTTTATCATCTAGAATGTAAACGAGAAGATATAGATGTGGGAAAAAAATTTATTGCGCAGTTAATTTAATTTAATATAATCATTTGATAACATAGAGATGAAATTATGAGTGTAATCGATTTAGATTGAATTGAGAAGCTTGAACTTGCTTTATAGTAGGTGACTACTTAAATGTAATTTCTTGGAGATTCAATTTAGAACAAAATTAACTAGCTTTACACTATTGAATAAATAAAATTTTTCATTAAAAAATGTTTTTCTTTTAACACTCATTTTAATGAATTATCACTTGATTAACAGAGAGTACCAAGTGAAGACATCAAGAAGAATTTAAAAATGAAATAAATGAAGGAAAAATATCTAATTAAAAAAGTATGTAATCGAGTAAATAAAATTTAAACAAAATTCAACATGACTCAAAAATCTATAAAAATTTTTCCAAAATATTCAAAGATTTCCGCAGTAATTTACTCTGAATTTATATCGCAACCATTGGCACTCTTAATTTTGGCTTTGTGCCAGAATCATAGTATCCTGAAGGACGAAAAGTCACTTTTCATTCCTTTCATTGCTAATGACACTCAAAAGTTTATCTAATCATCAATTATCAAAGCTATAATAAACTCTACTGTTATTCATGTAGCTTAACTAACATGATTAACTTTTCAAGTTAATTATTTATTAACTTTATCCAATTTTATTCTAATGATAAGGATAAAATTATTAATTACACTTAGAATAAACTTACTTCATTGATCATAACTGTGATTTATTAAATTAAAAAAATTTCTACCTGTGACCAAGTTCTCTCTTGTAAGGAGTTCGAATGCCATCAACCCAGCTGATCAGATCCTGATCATTTCTATTATTCATATTCTGTTCATCCATCATAAAAGAATTGGAATGTAGGTTGTCATAGTGTGATTGAAATTTCTCTTCTGCACAGGAATTCATGTCTTTTAGCTTCCCAGATGCTAATAAAGATGTTTCCAGTAATGTAGCAGCTTCCAAAAATTGAAATGTACTTTGCTTTCTAATCAATTTCTAGATGATTGTGAGTGTTGACCAATCAATCCGTTCAATAATTGCACTAGTGTTTCAACTCTTTAAATAACTCACTGTAAATTCAATTGTTCCTCATAAATTCTAGTTACCATTGACCAATGAACTTACATAGATATCTTTACGCATAGTTCAATAAAAAGGCAGTAAGTTTGTTGTCACTTGGTATATTAACTGATTGTGTAATAATTAATTCAATTACTTAACGGAATGAATTAAAGTCTTTTATCAAAGCAATTATTATGTACGTATATGTTTTAACACAACCGTTTGAATGCGTATAGTTGTTTCAAGAGTGGATAGAGAGAGTATGTGACCGACTTCTTGGCACGACACCACTGGAATGACGATACTTTTCTCCGTAGAACCAAGAATAAATAAATGGTCGACTGTAATACAACAACTAAGTCGAAAACAGGCCAAATCGAAAAGCGATAACATATAATCAATGAAAGGTCATCCTTGGATTGAATTTTATCACCGAAAAAACATTTATGCTGTTGTTTGGTCATGATTTTGTATAATTTTTTTTAGAATGGAAGATTTTTGTGTGATTTGATAATTTATTTCACAAATCGGTTGAAAGTAAAATGTTCTATTATTAATCATCATTTCAATATTTGTTTCACTAATAATTAAAACCAATAAATCTTATTTACGTTTTTATTAGTTGTTTGTGTTATTTGTTTATAGATTTATTATTTTTAAAGATGGATTAAATTATATATTTTTAGTGCAGTTAATCAAGGTTCATGTGGAATAAACAAATAAAATTTCAGTTGTTTCAAAATATTTGTATTAGCAAAGTAAGTAAACTACCCAACTCTGCCAATAACCGATAAATTTGCTATCAGTATCGAAATGCAGTTGTTATTATTGGACACTCTAACAACTCGTGCATGTAGTCACACGAGTTTCGTAAGAAGATAATTTTGTTTAAATCCGAAAATGGCCAAAAAATGTGGAGTAAAAATAGAAATCATTGAAATATAAGCAAAATAAAGTGGATAAATGTAAAGCATGGTGGAGGTGATTAATTCAAAGTGATATATTAAGATGTGCGAGTTTATTTATACAAACATGAAATAGGTAGGCAGGAACAGAATCAAAATAATATTATGTCTCACGTAAAGCTTTGCTTATACGCAGATTTTCTTTGAAAATCAAGAGAATAAAATTTTTGCATTTTTTCATGTTAACATCATTATGTTCATAGTAATACTATTCATATTTTTTTGCTCATAAAAGTTTAAAAATGGATAATTATATTAATTCATACAATTTTACAGTTAACAATTAAACGAATGAATAATGAAATGACATTCATCAAGACACATGAACAAATAATTGAAGTCTAAATCATACATCATTAAAATTAAAAAATTATTAACTGATATTTTAATAATGCTATCACAAACCTTTGACTAGCCTGCCTGTACCATTTTTTTGGCCCACTTTGATCGTCATTTTTGGATCCATTTTCAAGATATCCATGACAATTTTCCAACTCCATGATTAACTAAAACATTAGAAAAAATATGTGAACCTCACTAGATTAGGAATTGATGTATTCTTATCAGTCATATTACAATGAACCCATGATGTGTAAAGGAAACATTAAAAACTGGAGATAAAACCTTATCAAAATTATTATAGCAATTTATTCAACATTTATTGAAATTATCATGCTTCTCAAGAGTAATTAGTCGAAATATCATTGAAGTAAAAACATTTTTTGCAATTTTTTATTTATTATTTATCAATGACTTTTCTTCAGAATTGGCAAGAAATGAATATTTGCAATCAATGAGATCAATGTTTAACATCTTATTGATTCATACCTAATCAAATCGAAAAAATCTTCAAATAATTAATGGCACTGATTTATACTCGCATTTATTTATTAATTACACTTTATTTTCGAACTTGACGTTTCCAACAGTATCTTGATAAGTAAAATAAAATCGAACAATGAACGATAAAATCTTCTCAAGACAATCGGCAATACAAAATGACTGAAAAACAGCTGCGGCAATAGAGAGAAGTGGTTCTCAACTACACTATTCAGCACGACATCTCATTATTAGAAATATGTCGAAATTGAATTTGGCGCTCCAAATAAAATTTTCTAGAACATCACATGCGCAGTTATCTAGTGACTTTTTTTTAGCGGGATTTATTATTTGAATATAAAACATTGGATAGGTAAACAATTGTAAAATTAAACAAAATGGAACGACTTATTTATTTTATTAAAAAGTTAAATGCGTCACAATAAGATAATTCAAGTAGTACATCATTTAAAAGAGTAGAATTAATATAGATGAATGGAATGAAATCATGGTTATTACTGTTATATTTCTAAAATTGCATTAAAAGTTCGAGTTACACATGTGACAAAATATGAACAAAAAATATTGGCATCTTTGACGTCATAAATAAAGATAACTTTTAAATGCTGCACGCGCAACAATATATAGTGCACTAAAGTGTATTTATTCGACCTCGTGACTAGACATAGGAATGTCTAACAATGGATGACGATTGATTAATCAAAAGGATATACAGTGTTTTACAATGATAGATTACTAACATGCTACAGAAAAAGATCATTGAAAAAAAAGAATTATGATGACAAATAAAATTGGCAAAAAAAAGAGGGAAAATAAAGTAATTTGAATCTTTTGAAAAAATTATTTCGACCACAAGTTATTACACGCTGTCAGTTATCATGCAATAAAAAAATTGATTGATAGAAGGAAATTGCACCTGTCGAATTATCGAGGGACGAATATTAAGATGTTTGGAATTGGCCTTTGGCGTGCACTCGGACTTTTCATCGGCAACAGTAGTAGAGGAGTATGTTCGTGGCGCCGTATTACGTTGTGTTGCGTCTGTTGTCCGGCGTTGTTGGTTGTTCTTGAATCTCAGAACGTAAGAACACCGAGGTAAAACATTTAATTTAGTGATTCCACGTACAACAGAGCCGTTCATTATCGGAAAATCGCGGTTAATTAAGTGCACAGTTGATGAAAAGATAAAAAAAAAGAAATAATTGAGTTGAATACTGCAAAAAGAAGGCCAGTCAAGTGTTAGAGAGACGATCAAAGAGCGTTTTGAAACGGACAAGTCAGACAGACAACACGTTAGTAAAGTTAAGAAAAAATTCAAAGACTTGTCTTGTACGGAAGTCACGGTTTTGGGCGAGCTCTTTGTAAACTCAAGCTTTTTCTGACGCCCCTCAAAAGTACTCGAACAATTACGTTCACCCGCGCTCGGTGTACATTGCGTAAAATTAATCTCATTTAGGTGACCTCGAGTATCACATAACCTCAAGACAGCTCGACGAAACACGTCGGTGAGATCGAGGTAAAAAGCATCATAATTCCTGTTGTGTTCATAGAATCATATTTAAATATACTTAATAATCATCGGCATTTGTGTTTGATTATATTTTAAAGTTTTAATTAGTTGATATGAAAAATCAGAGGTCGTAAACCAATATGACCCAACCCATTTTTGAATGAACTATTTTATTTTGATGTTTTAGTTATTTAATTTTTCCATTGACAAACGTAGGAATGACTTCTTTATATTATTAGTATAAGTTCAACAGGGCTTTTATATTTTTTTTCATCACAATTAGTCATGAAAATGAACTTAACCTTGAAAGACATTAGTTCAAATTAATAATACATTTCATTATTAATTTAATTAATTCATTGTAATTTTTTCCACATATGCACAAAAATGCTAAAATGTTGATTATCAATAAACTGATTACATCGTTTTTCAACACTTAAATACAAAATTTTTGTTGCAATTTATTGTTATGTATTTCATTCTCTTTTATTTGCAATAAATATTTATTAATCACAATGCAACTGCGTTTTTATTTGTTTATCCATTGTTTACACCAACAGCACTTAATAATAAATAATCGAGAAAAAAATTAAAACAAATTATTATTTTGAATCCCTCAAACACCAACAAAGAAAATTTTCTTGTTGTCAAACTTCTAATTTAGATCAAAAAGAAGAATCATGTACATCCAAAATCTTCAATAATCTCTAAAATTATGGTACTTTAACGAGTCAATAAATAAATCAGAAAATATAAGAAAGAAGATAAAAAGGATCATTTAAACGATGAATAATCAGGCATTTAGTTTGGCTGAAAAGCTCATTCCATCAACTTATGTTCAACAAGGCTTGAATGCGAAAAAGACACGAGAGAATCTCATTCGAAGCTTTATTGAACACGTAAGTATAATTTCGTGATAGCTTAATTATTTATCAGTTTACAATTTTCTTGAGCGTTTTGATATTTTTCAATCAGCGTAAATGGCCGGAAGAAGGTTGGGACGATGCAACAATCGAAGCTTTTTTAGCAGATCTCTCTCAAATGGACAGCAACAACTTTCCCCTTAACTGCAGTGTGGGTGAAAGAGAATCGAGAATCGTATCAAACATAGTAGCAAGGCGTCACTTTCGTATGGGACATGGTATTGGCCGATCTGGAGATCTTGAAGAAGTCCAACCAAAAGCGGCTGGAAGTAGTTTGATGTACAAACTAACGAATGCTCTCGTTCTAGAAGTTATTCGATATATGGGTATTTTTTCAATAATAATTTTGTGAGCCATCAACCATAAAATAATTCTTTTTTCCAAATTGGGTCATTGTTTTAGGTGTAAAAAGTATAGCAGGATGCTTTCTATCACCGATGGCAACAGGAATGAGCTTGGTTTTATGCATGCTGACTTTAAAACTTGATAGACCAAGAGCTAAATATGTTTTATGGTCTAGAATTGATCAGAAATCAAGCTTTAAGTCAATAATCACTGCTGGACTAGAGCCCATTGTCATTGAAACACAGATAATTGGAGATGAGTTGAAAACTGATATGCAGAAACTAGAATCTCAAATGGCTGCTCTTGGAGAAAGCATCGCTTGTGTTCTATCAACAACTAGTTGCTTTGCACCAAGAGCTTGTGACTCAGTTGATCTTATCGCCGCTCTTTGTACACAATATAACATCCCTCACCTGGTCAACAACGCTTATGGGTAAATTTCAAAGGCTTTAATATTTTTAATTACTTCAATAATTAATGAAAAACTTTGTTTGAAGACTGCTTATCATTTAAATTAATTTTTTCAGACTTCAAAGTACTAGATGTATGCATTTGATTCAAGAAGCTTCAAGGAAAGGTCGAGTGGATGCTTTTGTTCAAAGTACAGACAAAAATTTTCTTGTTCCTGTTGGTGGAGCAGTAATAGGCTCTTTTGACAAGAATCTCTTGGACCGAATCTCCAAGATGTACCCAGGTCGTGCCAATGCCAGTTCAACGATGGATGTTATGATTACGCTATTGAGTCTGGGAATGACAGGTTATAAACAGCTGATAGCTCAACGTAAGGAAATGTATGCATATTTGAAAGAAGAATTAGGAAAGCTTGCAACGAGGCATGGAGAAAGATTATTGGATACGAAAGGCAATCCGATTTCTATGGGGATGACACTTCAGTGTCTGACTCATCAGCATGATCATAAACAAGTAACGATGCTAGGGTCCATGCTGTTTCTTAGGAATGTCAGTGGGTCAAGAGTTATTACTACCACTGACATAAAACACATCGTTTCACACAAATTTGAAGGTATACCAGTTTTTAATTAAAATATTTAATAGTGTTAAATACAAAAAAAAATAATAATAAAAGTTCTTCAGTGAATGAAATTCTAATATTATGAGATATTGTTTAATCGCTATTTAAATTGGATACTAATTTAATTAATTATACTTGTTACAAGTTTTATAAGCACAGTATTTTCAATAAGACTTAAGAATAATTGTTATCAATAACTTTTTAACGATGCAGTTACATTCTGAGAATGAATAAATTTATGATATTCTAGAAAACTCGTAATTGAAACCAATTGTTATTCGTTAAATTATCAGTCTTGATGAATAGCCTTATCTAAATTAATAATTAATTCTACAATTGAACAATGACTATGTTTTACTTATTCACGCGATGCATAATTTATAACTCCATTTATTATTTAAAAAAATTCCAGCACAAGAATCATTTATAATAGTCTGAAATTTTACGTATTTAACCTATGTAGTCACTCGAATATTTCATGTATTTTTCTAGTAAGTAATTATCCGATAAACTCAAACAAAAAATTACTTTTAGGCTGGGGAGCTCATAATAGTAATTATCCTGTACCATATCTAACTGCGGCAGCGGCGTTGGGAATGAAACGCAGTGATGTTGATGCATTTGTTCAGCGATTAGATAAAGCATTAACTAAAGTACGTCGACGATCAGCTCCAGTGACCCCAACAGCTTCTCTTGCAGGATCAAGCATCAATGGAGATGCCAGTAATCCCGGTGGTCCTGGTGAATCTAGCACTGCATCCACTAGCCGTGCTAGCAGTAAAGATAGCCTGCGAAAATGAACCGTAATCAACGCAACTGGTCAGTCGAATCAGCATATCAACATCAATTTGTAAACAATTGTCTGTTTATAATGATTTGTCGAATCTCTTTTTGAATCTCTTTGTTCCATTTATGAATAAATATTCATGAAATTTCAAAGCAAACTATCACAATTGTAATGAATTGAATGAACAATGAGATCTTAGAAAGAAGACACGACATATGCTGATACGACTGTTCAATTGCGTTGGGAATAACATTGAATGAAATAAATAATAAAAAATAAAATAATTAAACTAAAAGTGATGCTTGAATAGGTCAAGTGGAAGAAGAAAAAGCGCTGGTCGCTGCTCTACATTAAAACAAAAGTTAGACTTGGAAACAAACGAATTTATTAATTTATTAAATTAAATTAACTTTTTTTAATAATTCATTACGATAATTATCAATGAATTTATTCATATTGCTTCTGCGTACCTTTTTTTGCTAAGTCAAATTTTTAAAGATAAAATATAATCATAAGTAAAAAATAATTAATGCTAATTTTCTTGCAAATAAAAATCAATGCGAATGACATAATATATAAACTAAATGAACAAATGATTCTTTGTTGTGAAACTATAAAGGACAATGCAAAAACAAAGCATGGTTATGAAAATTTTTCGATAGATACATTATTACTTAATAATATCATTTAGCTGATATGTGTGTGAAAATGTGTGTCTAACAGATACGCACTAAAAAAATTAGATGATCATGGCAATTTAAAGAAAAAAAAAGAAAGGCTTCTAATGATACAAATAACTGAATAATTAGCATAGCTTTTTTTACTTCACTTCACCTTCATTGTGCGCTTAATAATGAGAAGAATGATTACAAAAAATAAATAAAAACACAAATGAGTGAATAAACAAATAGAAAATTTTCACTTGACGTTAAGTATACATCTAAATGTAGCCTAGATGAACAATCATACACATTAAGAATAAATTTATTATTAAAGTTAAGATAAAAAACCTGAAGAAAAAATAAACAAAGATTATTGCATGATTTTAGAAAGAAAAAAAAATTGAGAAAGAAGGCAAAGCAAAGGCCTGGAGCCTCAAAAAGACTTTAGTGAAGTTATCATTAATTAATCAAACATTGATTAATGATTGATGATTAGAAATAATTAGAGAAAAAGTTTGTTATTAATTTAAATAAAAGATATAGCTTTACACATTGTTAGTTGACTGTGCTAATCATGTTTACAAATTTTACATTTAAATCTAGCTCAATTATGATAAATAAATAATAAATTATTTTTTATTTAAATTTTATTCTTCATTAATTCATTAGACGCTTTTTTGGTCTAGAAGTGACTTTGGCGTATAGGAGATGACTCAGATAATATTTATGAACTAGTAGCAATTAATTAATTATTTAATAAAGAATGTTGATAAAATAACTGGGTAAATAGATATGTTATACCCAAAACAAAGCAAACTGATAATCAAGATAATTTATAATTGTTTACTATAAAAATATAATTCGTTAATAATCATTAAATATTTATGAAGATACATTCCTATGTAAATAATAAATATTATCTTAGCAAATTTTTTATTAATCATTTATCAATGGACTTTGCTTGAAAATTTCATAATCAAGATTTTTAATAATTTGTTAGAAAAATTATCAGGTAATAATTAAAATGAAAATGTGTGAATTCAAGTTTTACTCATCGAATGTGTCCAACGATTCGTTGAAAGGCCTAAGTTCGAGCTTGATAAAAAATTTATCTTTGCTTTTACAGAAATTTTGCGACAAAAATAATGTATATAAATAATGTAGAAATCATGTAACATTTAATGAGTAGATAAAAATAATTGAAATCCATACGAAACATTCCATGAATAAATATATTGAAAACATTAGACATTATAATTGCTCTTGTATAAACTGTAATACAAAAGTAAGCATTAATTAATTCGCAATTTATAATCACCGTATAGACAAATTTAAATAAAACACAAAAGTATAAATTATGAATCATGTAAACGAATTAAGTATGAAGGGTTGGTTACATAGAAAAATAACTAAATAAATAAATTTAGAAAAATGAATGTACAAGCTCTTCCTAAGTAGTTTTAAATAATAAAATGTAATTGTTAGTTATGTTCTGATACTTCATTCTAGGTCCTCATTAACAAAGATTTCTCAAAAAAATTATTTCATAGATTGATTTTATTTAAAACATGTTAATTATTCAACAACTGAATGTAGAAGCTTTTTATGACTAAATTTTTATTTACTTTCATGAATTCTGAAAGCAATCATAAATTGGAATTTTAAATTTTCGCGCTCAAACAACGCTATTCATTTTCGTCCCATTTTACAAGAATACATTAGTCAAAATAAATCAAATATTGCTGCAGCTGTTACAGCTGTCATTTTATTTCCTTAGAAATGTTGGGAACAAAATAACATTGTTAAAACAGATGTGTTATAAATGTTTCTATATGTACGTCAAGTATTGGTAATAAGCTATTGATAAATATTTAAATATTCGACAATAAAAAAATGGATATAGCTAAGTGTCTGTTTAATGTTCGGGATCATGAAGGTTACGTTGGAAGGGAAGATCATAACGTAAGTAAACAATAAATAAATAATTGTTTGTATAAATAAAAACTTTCAATTTTTTTGAAATAGAAAAAATCTTAAAAATATTTTATTTATTAGAAAAAGCTTCAAACGATTGGATCTGAAGATGAATGTGATACAGACGTCAATGGATTATGTGAAGATCTAATTTCTCCAGTTCCTGGAGGACCATTTTCTGCTTTAACTCCATCAATGTGGCCTCAAGATATTTTAGCAAAACTCAGTCAACCAGATGATCCAAATTCTCAACCAGATTATAGATTTGACGAGTTTGGTTTTCGAGTAGAAGAAGAAGATGGTCCAGAGCAGAGTTCAAAAAAACTTTTAGGCGTTCCTTTCGTAGAAGATCCTCAACATCGCCAACAATGGCTGACATTGATGGAGTTTAGTCGTACACAAGAAATATCTGATGTCTCATGGAATAAAACAGATCAACGATTACCAAGGACTGATAAGTTAAGAGATATGGTAAGACGGGGGATTCCACATTCTCTCCGTCCAAGGATCTGGATGAGGATGTCTGGGGCTTCACAAAAAAAGATGTCATCAGAAATGACTTATAAAGACATTGTCAAAGCATCTAGTAGTGATGCTTTGATGACTAGTAAGCAAATAGAAAAAGATTTATTAAGGACTATGCCTGCGAATGCTTGTTTTTCTCATCTACACAGTACAGGAATCCCTAGATTAAGAAGAGTAATGCGTGGATTAGCTTGGTTGTACCCAGATATTGGTTACTGTCAAGGAACTGGTACCATTGCTGCTTCTTTATTATTATTGCTTGAAGAAGAAGATACTTTTTGGATGATGGCAACAATTGTTGAAGATTTATTACCAGCTTCGTACTATTCTTCAACTCTTTTGGGTATTCAAGCTGATCAAAAAGTTCTAAGAACACTCATAGCTAATTTCTTACCTGATATCGATCACGTTCTAGTCCAACATGATATAGAATTGAGTTTAATCTCTTTACACTGGTTTCTTACTTTATTCGCATCTGTTGTTCACATGAAAATTTTACTGAGAATATGGGATTTATTCTTATTTGATGGATCTATTGTTTTATTCCAAGTTACTCTTGGAATGTTAAAAATCCGTGAAGCAGAATTAAAACTACTGGAAAACTCAGCACAAATATTTAACGCACTTTCTGATATCCCTGGTGATATCGACGATGTTGATCAATTATTTGAAGTATCTTTAGAAGTAAGTGGATCTTTGACTGATGTTCTTGTTGAAACACATCGAAGAAGGCATTTGACTTATTTAATGGCTGATCAAGGTGGCCTTGTTGGAAACCCTGATGCCGCACCTAATTTGCCTAAACAACACTTGAACAAACGACAAATGAAACGAAATAAATCAGCGCTACAGATGTTTTTATTTGGTAGTGATTTAAGTGAAGAAGATGCTAAGTCTAAAAATATTCGGCAAACAGAAATTTTAGTAGATTTGAGAGAAACAATTCTTCAAGTATCTCGACACTTCATCAATGTTGATCCCAAATTGAACGTAACTTTAGTGGCTGATTATACCATGGAAAGTCATGCTAAGGATCATGACAATTACGTCAATGTTTCTAGAACAAGAAATAGACGAGCGAAAGCTTTGTTAGATTTTGAAAGACATGATGATGACGAGTTAGGTTTTAGAAAAAATGATATAATTACAATAATAAGCCAAAAGGATGAGCATTGTTGGGTAGGAGAATTGAATGGACTTCGGGGTTGGTTTCCGGCAAAATTCGTTGAGTTGCTTGATGAGAGAAGCAAACAATATACATGTGCAGGTGATGATGCAGTAAGTGAAGCAGTTACAGATCTTGTAAGAGGAACATTATGTCCAGCAATAAAAGCCGTACTCGAGCACGGAATGAAGAGACCTTCATTTCTTGGAGGTCCTTGTCATCCGTGGTTATTTATTGAAGAAGCTTCAACTAGAGAAGTTGAGAAAGATTTTAATTCTGTCTATAGTAGACTGGTGTTATGTAAGACTTACAGACTTGATGAAGATGGTAAAGTTTTAACTCCAGAAGAGGTAATATATTATTAATATCAATAAGTATCCATTTCATTGAATAATAATTACATAAAAAGGTATTTAATTTTTTTTAGTTGCTTTATCGCTGTGTTCAAGCTGTTAATCTAAGCCACGATAATGCTCATGCACAGATGGACGTTAAGCTACGATCTCTTATTTGTCTGGGATTAAATGAACAAGTTCTACATTTATGGCTTGAAGTTTTGTGCTCTTGTGTTGAGGTTGTTCAAAAGTGGTACGTAAAAAATAAATTATAAAGCTTTATCACGCTACTAAAACTAATTAATTAGAATAATTTATTTTATTTTCTTTCAAGTTGATGATTATCATGCTTTTTATTGATTTTCTAATAAATGCTGTTTAGGTATTACCCATGGAGTTTTGTCAACAGTCCAGGATGGGTTCAAATAAAATGTGAACTACGAATCCTTAGTCAATTTGCATTTAATTTAAATCCTGACTGGGAATTACCGCAGAAAAAAGAACAATCCCAGCCTTTGAAAGACGGGGTGAGAGATATGCTTGTAAAACATCACCTCTTTAGTTGGGATTTGTGAAATATTTAATTAATTTATTCTTTGGAAAAAAAATCTACTAACTTTTTAATGTTAATCTTTTATCGAAATTAATATTTTTTATTTGTTCAGTCTGTAATAGATACTTGCCAATGAAAAAATAATATTTACTATTTATTTATCACTGTATAATCAGTAAAACGAATCAAACAGATATTTAAGTACCTGTAGAAACGTGCGCATCCATAATGTAACGATAATCCCTGTGGATCTATCATAAATAATATTTTATTTTCTTAATAAGCCAAAGATTAAATAAATTGATCGGAGAATATTTTAATAGATACTTTTTCCGTCCTTTTATTCTGTTTTTCTGAAATATAAATGACAAACTGACTACGATAATAAAATAAATCAATAGATAATAATAACGATAAGAATATTAATTATAGTACCAATTGAAGAATAATATTAAGAATGTGTTTAAATTGCAATGAATTTAAAGTTATATTGTGAATTGAAAATTGTGCAGTGTATTAGATTATTATGTATAAGATTTTTGTTATACATATTCAGAATTTATAATGTAAAAAGAAAATTATATTTCTTATCTAGTGTTATGTACTTCTGTATGAAATAATAATGTGTATATAATATATTATAATGTATATTGCACTTTAATTTATTTATATATTTATTCATCGTATAAACATAAAATGAAAATAAAAAAAAATTAAATTACAAATATAAATTAATGATAAAAATATTTTTTTATTTTCTATTAAAAATATTTTTTCAACATTTGCAATGTTCTTCTTTACTATTTTCTTTTTCAATTTCGTTTAAACATTTACATTGTCGTTTTTTAATATAAATTAAATGCAAATCCATCACATTAGTTCCAGTAAATCCAGTTTTCAATAAATCATCACCTTCTTTAAACCATGAATAAAAAGAGTAGGAATCATTATTCTTTAATACATTTTCTAAACTCACACTTTCTACCTTTGCTTCAAGATAAGTATTGTTTTTTTCATTTACTTGTCTATTATTTACAACTTGTTGACTGTTGACTATAGAAAAATTTATTCCAGCATATCCAAAAGCTCCTGTCGCGTCTGTGGGTCCGTCTTGTCCATCAGTACCAGCACTGAGAAATAATACATCATACGGATTCAACTTAGAATTATTCATAACAGCTTTATACCAGTCAAAAGAGAATGTGAGAGCAAGTTCTTGATTTCTTCCACCTTTTCCGGATCCTTTTACTATTATTGTAGGTTCTCCACCTGCGATTAAAACTAAACCTTGACCTTCAGTTACTTCAAGGACTTGATAAATTTCATTTGCTCGTCCACTTAACCAGGAAAGACCTTGATGATTTTTCAATGCTTCTTGAAATTCCTCTTTAGAAATTACTTTACTCCAAGCTTCGCAGATCAGTTGACATAACTCTGAGTACATTAAACTGACTTCACTAACCAATCCTTCAATATTATTACACAAAACGATAGGATTCAAAGACTGCCTGATGGTTTCAATTTTAGCATTAGCAATAGCTAATGAATTATTACCAATTATAAAATTGTTCACATGAAGAAATTGATCTTTATTATCAATTTTGTCGATAAACAGTTTATCTTCATTGGATTCACGTTCCAAAAGAATATGTTTCAAATTATCTTCAACTTTATCCAACAAGTCATACTTTTTTAATATCGTTTCAATTATTTCAGGATCTCTTACACTGTAAACAGTTGGTCCAGATGCAATTAACTCTACAGGATCTCCAATAATATCTGATAAAATTAATCCAATAACTTGAGCAGGATAAGCTATTTTAGCGAGTCCTCCTGCCTTTACCATTGATAATTTTTGTCTGATTAAATTAACTTCTTTGATATCGGCTCCTGAATTAAATAGTTTCTTACAAATATTCAATTTCTCTTCTGAAGTAATTGATGGATGAGGCATTGAGCATAAAGCCGATCCTCCCCCAGATATTAAAACTATTAAAGTGTCTTTTTCAGTTAAAGATTTTGCTAAATTAATTATTTCTTGAGTTACTATTAAAGTATCATCATCTGGTTGATTATTTAAACTGTTTTCTCTATAGTCTATTACCCCAGTAAGTAGAGGAAAGGAGTCGTTGTCGACGTTCTCCCATATCTTACTTTTTAATCCTCTTGGAATACTAACAATGCCTTTTATCAATTGATTTTTAAGCAACTTTTCTATTGCTATAGCCATGCCCATTACAGCTTTGCCAAATCCCACTAAATAAACTCTTTCTTTAAGAGTAAGCACAGTTCCATCGATGCACAATTCATTATTCTTGAATGTTACTTTGTTTTGAATAATTTTGTGAGGTTTCACAGAATTCAGTCCAGTGTAGAAAATCTTTTTCAATCTATCTTTAGCTCCTTTTAATGATACTTCCTCTTGCACGATGTTGTTGATAGTAGATACTTGAGGTTTTGTACTGTTTTAACAGAAAAAAATATTTTAAATAATTGTTTCTGTATATCTATTAATAAAATAATTTGTTTCAGAAAAACTTATTACCTTTTAGATGTCATTTTTCGAGTTCCAATCAGTTTTAAGCGTGAGAATAAATAGGTATGTATTTTGTTCACAAAACTCATCTGTTACAACATTCAGAGCTTTTATTGAATACAGATAAAAATATATATTCTAGCGTTACATTTTTGGAACATTTCATTTATATTAATTAAGCGATTAATAAGACAAATGTTATATAATGATTACACACTATCTCTATTCATTGTTTATCAATTTGAAATGATATATATTCACTATATAATTTAATTTTCATAAACATTTGATTACATCAACACTAGAATCAACAATAAATAAATTTTATATTATTTTAAAAAGAATAAATAAGTTTCCTTTTGTTAATCATTAAATGCAGTAACATTAATTTGTTTCGTTTGAAAGACAGTTAAATAGTTTAAACAATATACTTTAAGTTTATAGCTAATGTCATTGAATATTATTAAATAAACTTTTGTGGTTATATTTTCTGTATTAAATTTCTGAATGATTTGATTGATGACTTGGTTATTTAACTTGCTTTTTCTGTTTTTTTTGGTAGTAGGACAGCTTGAATATTCGGAAGAACCCCACCTTGAGCAATTGTCACGCCTGACAAGAGTTTATTAAGCTCTTCATCATTACGAATAGCGAGTTGCAGGTGACGAGGAATTATTCGGGTTTTTTTATTATCACGAGCAGCATTTCCGGCTAACTCAAGTACCTCAGCTGCTAGATATTCCATTACAGCTGCCAAATAAACAGGAGCACCAGCACCAACGCGTTCTGCGTAATTTCCTTTTCGTAACAAACGATGAATTCGACCAACGGGGAATTGCAAACCAGCTCTACTTGATCGTGACTTTGATTTTCCCTTTACTTTGCCACCTTTTCCTCTTCCAGACATTTTGTATATTTATTTTTATATTACGTATAATATTTTGTTAATAAACAGAATATGATAAGGTTGCTTATTTGACAAATTAGAAATATGAGTTTGCGCAGTTTATCTTTTATTTTTGCCGGGACGTACGCAAAACAGCAGAAGTCTGTAACAGAGAAGAGACTAGTATCGAAGCTCAATCCTGGGTTCAAAATCCGAACTTGGTTTCGGCTAACATGTCGGTAAATCCTAGAACTTATGTTCACTAACCGCTAGTTGTCGCGTCGGAAAATCGACCGTAGACACGCCCCCAAATTTCAAAGCGCATGCGTGAGAAAGGAGTAAAATAAAATTTAAAATTAATTCCTAACTTTTAATCTTCGTATTCTTCTAAACGATTTAATACAAAAATTTATTAAACCTTTAAGATGCCAAAAAGAAAAGAAATGAAGTTGCAGTATTTAGGGTAATTGCCAAGTATTTTGGCGATTCTATGAGGAATAAAAATTTTTTCGTTGTTTTTTGAGGATATGTATGTATAGCTTAAATTCTGAAGTTCCTAAAACGTCTTCAAATAGCAATTTTGGACCAGCAGTTCTGAAGTTATTGAAGCTCAAAGTCTTACCTGTGACCGGATTTTTCATTTCTAAATATCAAAACTTGGTAAATGAGCCCCTGATTATCAAAAAATGGCAAGTTATCATATTTATGCTTGGATCATAAAATTATGCATATGGTTGGAAAGATCTTGATGAGACGATTCCAAAAAGGTAGCTATTGACTTTGGTTGGTTGAGGAAATCACGAGATATTCGTGAAAATCTGTAAAACATAAAAATATGCATAACTCCTATGCTATTAATGCTACGAGGGTGCTTGAGGGCTCATATGAAAGATCAGGACCTGAGTAAAAAATTGGGGTCCCCCTATAGGATAACCCCGTCAAAAATGCCGTATCTCTCATAGTTTTCGAGTTATGAGCGTTTAAAGGTTTTTCTATGTTTCGATGCAGCATAACTTGGTTTTCTGCTTATAACTCACGAACCATTAGACGTACATAGACTTTGAGCATATCAATGGATTCGTAAGAGCTAGAGCTTTCTAATGCACTAGTCAAAATTATGACTTGAGCATAATTTATGCTCCTTTTCATAGCAACTTCCGATTCGATCTTATTTTGAGAGTCCAGCAATTAATTTCTTGAATGTTTGAACAAAGAAATTTCTACATGAACTGTAACACCCTTACAAATTTCGAGAGATTCAATTCTGCATTAGTACACATCAAAACGTAGTAAATGAGCCCTCGATTGTCAAAATTGGAGCTTTTTTTATTTTCCGGCGAAAAAAAATTTAACGGGGTTGGAAAATAAAATTTTTGAGTTTGACCACTCATTACCTTTCTGTTGACATCCAGAAATGTAAAATCAGTTCAAACATTCAAGAAATTAATTGCTGGACTCTCGAAATAAGATCGAATCGGAAGTTGCTATGAAAAGGAGCATAAATTCTGCTCAAATCATAATTTTGACTAGTGCATTAGAAAGCTCTAGCTCTTACGAATCCATTGATATGCTCAAAGTCTATGTACGTCTAATGGTTCGTGAGTTATAAGCAGAAAACAAAGTTATGCTGCATCGAAACATAGAAAAACCTTTAAACGCTCATAACTCGAAAACTATGAGAGATACGGCATTTTTGACGGGGTTATCCTATAGGGGGACCCCAATTTTTTACTTAGGTTCAGATCTTTCATATGAGCCCTCAAGCACCCTCGTAGCATTAATAGCATAGGAGTTATGCATATTTTTATGTTTTACAGATTTTCACGAATATCTCGTGATTTCTTCAACCAATCAAAGTCAATAGCTACCTTTTTGGAATCGTCTCATCAAGATCTTTCCAACCATATGCGTAATTTTATGATCCAAGCATAAATATGATAACTTGCCATTTTTTGATAATCAGGGGCTCATTTTCCAAGTTTTGATATTTAGAAATGAAAAATCCGGTTACAGGCAAGACTTTAAGCACCTATAAATCTCAAACAAACAGTCTAGTAAAATTTTTTAGGGACGTTTTAGAAACCTTGAAATCTGAGCTATCGACCACAATCCATAGATTTGTTAAAAAAAATTTATTTCACCCTTAAAATCGCAAAAATAGACAAATAGTCGCTGTTTTTTAAAGGAGCATAAATTATGCGCAAATCATAATTTTGACTAGTGCATTGGAAAGCTCTAGCTCTTACGAATCCATTGATATGCTCATAGTCTATGTACGTCTAATGGTTCGTGAGTTATAAGCAGAAAACCAAGTTATGCTGCATCGAAACATAGAAAAACCTTTAAACGCTCATAACTCGAAAACTATGAGAGATACGGCATTTTTGACGGGGTTATCCTATAGGGGGACCCCAATTTTTTACTCAGGTCCTGATCTTTCATATGAGCCCTCAAGCACCCTCGTAGCATTAATAGCATAGGAGTTATGCATATTTTTATGTTTTACAGATTTTCACGAATATCTCGTGATTTCTTCAACCAACCAAAGTCAATAGCTACCTTTTTGGAATCGTCTCATCAAGATCTTTCCAACCATATGCATAATTTTATGATCCAAGCATAAATATGATAACTTGCCATTTTTTGATAATCAGGGGCTTATTTTCCAAGTTTTGATATTTAGAAATGGAAAATCCGGTCACAGGTAAGACTTTGAGCTTCAATAACTTCAGAACTGCTGATCCAAAATTGCTATTTGAAGACGTTTTAGGAACTTCAGAATTTAAGCTATACATACATATCCTCAAAAAACAACGAAAAAATTTTTATTCCTCATAGAATCGCCAAAATACTTGGCAATTACCCTAAATACTGCAACAATTAAATAAATGCTAAATCTTGAAATGGTGTCGATAATTCTTTTGTAGAGTTTCAATAAGTATGAAAAACAAAAAAAAATGTCAAATATCTTCACTTCTCCAATTTTGTTATAATATCATTATTATTCTTATAAATATGTTAAGCACAAGTCTATTTCATGCAGTAATAATAGTGTAAGGAAAAGGATCTTAGGTTTAGGTAGAAAAAAAATACATTTTTTGGTGTATATCTTCCACTTCTATTAATTTTGTACAGGTATGATACAATTTATTTTTACAGACTTCGATTAAGTATCCGCGTTTTCATATTTCGAAGAATCTTAAGATTATTTTATATATATTTATATATTTATAATTTATACGCCTCTTTTTTACTCATTTTCTAATTATTTAAATTACACATAAAAAATTTCTCTCATTTAAATTACAGCGTTAAATTAGTACAAGATACTCTTTTCCACATTACTTTTCACATTTATATATAATTTTTGTCATAAATTTTTATTCAATTTGTCGACGGATCAATCAATTTTAGCCTTTCATTTTATATTTATTCAATACATTTGTTCCAACGTATATAACTTCATCTTACAGATTCTTTGTAATACCTCAATTTATAACTAATTAAAATTCATATTAAAATTCGTCAGTTAAGAAAGACACAAAGCATATTTGCTGTGTATGTGTGCAGCATAAGCAACATAAGATGCAATTATAAAATTAAATCCTACTATTTTCGTAAATAAATATCAGAAAAAATTGTATACAGCAATACATTGGAAAATACAGTAACTACAGAAATACTAAAGACATTTGAATGGTAAAAGGCGACTGGCAGTTTCACATTAATCAATCAATCAATGACTTAACTAATTAATCAACTATCCAACAAGTTGACTAATTACTTAGTTAATTATTTAATAAACAAATGTAATAAATACATTCAAAATCTCTTTATATATAAATTAATTATTAATTTAATAGAATCACATTTTTGTATACAAATGTTACTACCTTAAGTAAATAATATTTTTAATTTTAATTAATACTAAAGAAAATACAGTTAATCGGTACGATCGAAAAATTAATTAATTAATTATAATATTTACATTGTATAAACATATACATCACTTAGTCTGTGAAAAGCGTGAACATGAAGTGTGTGGATTATTTTGTACCATAAATTCTCGAATACAAATAATAATTTATAATCGAGTTGCTGGCCAACATAGTTATTTTGTTTATTTAGAAAAAAAAAAAAAACAATATTACATAGTATTTTTGTGAGGAAAAAAATAAAATCTCTGGCACATTCAGTAAAGTAAAAAGTTTTTCAAAGTTTACACACTGTTGATTACCATTTAGTTAATTTATTTCCTTTTACATTAGTTTATTATTGTGATAATTTTTCATATTGAATATTAAACGTTAAAAATTGATTAACGTTATTTTATTATTCTTGGGCAATTTATTTTATTTTATTTATTCTTATTAAACTAACTAAGTCTCATCGAGAAAGGACTGAGCGATAATTAAATATTTACTGTACAAATTTTACTTATATAATTTCACCATATAATTTTTTTTATTTTATGTTAATACGACACCAGAGCTCGGTTTTCTTTTTATTTCTATCCCCTCTCGTGCAATATAAAGGGAATCTTATTCTTTTTTATTTTGGACCCCACGGTCAATAGTTATTATTTTTCTTAAAAATAATATCCATACAACATTCCTGTTTTGTCTTCGTATAGCGAGTCACTTCGAATGTGAATGATTATCTACAATAATTGCATGAAAGATGCACTAAGATTAATCAATTAATAAATATTTTATTTATTTATTTATGAACTTTTTTTTATTAAAGCGTTTAAAAATTCAGTATTACAATGCATTGATTAATACTTTAATACTCTTAATAAAAATTAGCTGATAAGATATTCAGCTTGATATTTAGTTATAGTTGTAGAGTTTAAAATTTTATTAAGCAACAGATTTAATCTTTGTGCATCTTTCAAAAAGTTTTTTTTTATTTTTCCATTTAATCATAAACATTTTTTCTTAATTCTTTTATTTATGTTTATCAAATAATTACCTTCACTATGAAGATTCATTAAGTACTTTTTGCCAATAATGCAATTAAATTCAAATTCGAAGCATTCATTTATTTACTATCTATAACTTAATACAGAAAGTCTAGATAAGTCAGTGCTATACCTTGTTATGAATTTTAATATGTTCGTTTAATCGAACATCAAAATAATTTAGCAATCGTTTCAAAAAGCATACATCGATCTTTTTTCAATGATTGAAGTTTGTCAAATAAAATTCCAATGTTATTTAGTTTATTTTTAGTGAATCATTAATTTAAATGGATTCTTTAGTTTTTAAAGAGGGGATTTTTAGGGGACCGAGATTCCACTTCTACGTTGGTGGTTTTTTTATACATGGGACATATTTTACACTCATTAACGTTAAATTATTTCTTCAAATACAGAACGTCGGGTTGGCAGAGGACAGATCCTCGTAGTTGCATCTTCGGCTCTGACGATGACGTGTCTCGTTGCAGGAAACAACTATAAAATCAAATAAAATAGATTAATTACCGTTATTATGATGTTGAATAATAATAAAAATTTGATTTTAATTTTATTTAAATGAAATCGTAATTTTAATTATAAAAGGAAAACCATGTTGCTTTATCAGAATTGGATCAAATTATTAAATATTAAAAAAACTTATTAAGAATTGAATTTGCATCTTTTGTAATCTCTCTAGTAAATTGGAATGTAAAATTTGATTATAGTTAATAACAGTACTGAAATTGAATTCGATTAGGCATTTAGAAATAAATGTATAATTCTTGAGAGATTTCATTATCAAGATGATTTCAAAATCAAACAATTTCAATTTTAAATGGAAACATTCTCTAAAATTAATGCTTTCTCTTGCTTTATTCAAGTGATCAATAGCGAGAGAATAAAATTGTATTTTTGCATATTCAATCATTGTCAGGGAACAAAAAATATTCAATCAATAAAATGTATATTTATCTTAAGATAATTGATTGTTAAATAAACTTGTTTTCTTTACCTTGTTTACGAGCGGCTTTGGAGAACGCCAATCGACGCGAGCCACCCGACACAGTTTCTACGTATTATTGTAGAGTTGATGGTGGCTCTGATGGTGGGCTTGGTGATGGATTTGATTGGAATGCGAGTGCTGGAGCGAGTGTTGGTGCGAGTACTGTTGAGGGTGCTGATGGGAATGTTGATGTGCTGGTGTGTGCCTCGCACTGTACCTGACACTGCCAGTGAGTGAATTGCCTCTTCCATGAGTACCAACAATACTTTGTGAGTCGGAGAGGTCTTCTTCTTCAGCACCTAAACTACGAAATCTAACAAACCCGTCTTCAGCAACGAGCATGGTTGATCCAGTAGCTGGTACTTGTTCGTGCAAACCTTGAACAGGAGTGTGTCTTCCTCTCGTTTCAGAGGCTCGTAGGGTTTGAACACCATTACCATGGCGATGAAGAGAACCCCTTCCCTCGTGGGGAAAGTGTCCCATGGTACCTGATTTACGTATGGAATGTCGTTCGAACGTGCCGGAAATATTCAAGTGCTCTGGCAGGGTATTCAAGGGAAAACTGTCGTCGTATACCTGTTTTCCCGTACGCATCGTGTAGTTTTGAATGGCCTGGTTAGTGCTGCAAATTGCTGGGTAGAGAACGTCATCCATATTTTCCGTGGACGTGGAGCTGCCACAGGGAAAAAGTGCAAATCCAGAATGGGCTGAATGTTGTTGCAACTGTTTCTCTCGTAACGGAAATTGTGACAAGCTCGCGACCCATGCGAGTAATCCACAAATGGAGAGCTCCAGAAGTCTAACTGAAAACTCCCATCCCCACCAAAGCCATGGATATGGTGGTTCTCTTTCACGTACTCCAAAGATGCCATAAAGTTGAACGAAACCCATAAGTATGAATAGCAATGCGGTGGCAATGGTTGTAGTAATTGCAGTGCCAAGCGCCACGGTGGTTGGATCGCCTGCCACATGTGGACCTACCGACTTGTTGCTCGTCAGGTTTATCTGAGACCGCACTACTCGGTACACATACATGTAGCAAAGACCTAGAGTCACGCAGACCACGATATAGATACATTGGCAAACCAATGGGAAAATCCTTGTACCTCCGTAACCTAGCACGTGAGTTGATACATGCAGCGAGATGCAAAGGACGATATGGACCGTTGAATAGAGTGCTAAAGCCATTGGAGATAGAAATTTGTTGTTTAACGAAGGTGCTTCTGAGCATTTAGCCAGGTAAATGACGAGCGTGGCGAATGCTGTTGACAGCAATGGCGCAGGAAGGTACATTAACACTTGAGAGAGTGGTTCAGCCAATGATCTTCCTAAGTTATATGCATCGTAGAACAAATGAAAGCATCTGAATGTGCAGATGGTCGTCAATAAGAGATGGACAGTTAGAAAATAAGACTGCGTGAAAAGATTCGTAGCCTCGTTGAAGCGAACTATTTTATAGATGGAGTATAGGGCCATCAAAGTGAATGTAATAGCAGCGAAATAGACGTGAAGTGACCAAGCAATTCTCCAAGTTGACTCTAAAGGATGTGTATCCACTTGAGGCACATTGTGGTCATTATCAACTGGTCTCTTTGATGGAGCTGGTGGTTGGGGCTGAGGATATGGTAGCCGTTCCGCATCAACTATTTCAATCTGCTCAGTCTTTAATCCTTCATCATTTTTATGTTCTTCTTGTCTCCTCGTGTTGGGTAGATTCAAGATTGTCGGATAAGTAACAGATCTTGCAATTCCAGTAGTAGTTTTCATGGTAGTCGTAGTAGTGGTAGATCTTTGTGTAGTTGAAACTGCTGGAACTTCAATTAATGGAACTTTCGTCGACAATGGCTTCAATAAAACTTCCGGAATATCTTGTTTCCTTCCATTACTACCCGATAATATCCGAGAAATACTTGATGAATGAAGAGTGGGAAGATAATCATTACTGTTATTTTTTCTTTCAATTTCTTCAGTAGCTTCTTGAACTTTTTGCTCTTTGCTTGGAGTATTTAAAGCTTTATTACGTGTAGGAGGCTTTTCTGGCTGCTGGACAGAACTTTGAACTAAGTCTGGTGGTCTTATAGGTATTCTCTCATGTGCTGTCGGCATGAGACTTGGCCGTGGAATAGGTCTTCTCACGCCTGAGTGCGACTCGGAGTTTGTTCCCCGAAGAGTTGGCTTGTTAGCAAAAGGATTTAGATACTCTGCAGGCAATGGAGGCGTGAAAGAAGCTCTAGAGGGTGGCGCGTATGATGGCATCTCTCTGTATGCTGGTGACATTGTGACTCGAGATATTGGATACCTGAATGACGGCACTGGAGGTGTTGTTGTTGTTGTTAAAGGTGATGGAACTGTTGATAATGTTGTGCTAGCTGATACTTGAGCTTCATAAGCTGGAACACTTCGTTTCGTTGTCGCTGAACTATGTGCTACTTTATTAAATATTGCAGCGATATTTTTCTCCAACGCTGTTTGGTCCAGGTTGAATACTGGACTGTTAGGTCCTCCGTCACTCGATCCATGTGTCAGCTGAGTGAAAAGGAGAAGCAGGATAACCTGCGTTATCATTCTTCTTGTCCTTACAATCTCCATCATTTTTTCACAGTCAACAGTCGTCTATCTGTCTCATCACAATTTATATTTTATATCCCCCTGCTGGTTGTTTTTAATCCTTTTATTAAATTTTATTATTTCGTTTAGAATATTTTCTTCTTTATATCAAGTAAAAACGATAAATGAACTTAAGGACACTTGACGGGAAGGAATACACTTTTCTTTTATTTTTAAGTTTATTTTATAGCTATTTTATATTTCCCTTTTTTACTTGGCTCGATCGATATACTTGCCCCGGAAATAGTGGCAAAGTAAAAACGTCTTTACGACGCGACAAAACTTAGTTTTCAAAGTAGTATCGCTTCGGTTTCGAACTTTCTTTAAACTTCTACTGGTCCGTTAACTTGTTTCTTCTGCGTATTACACTTTGCGTTGCTCTTTTTTTATATTATTTTATTTTATCTCACAACACTGCAGTAAAGAGCAACAGCCACTGTATTTCACAGTTTATTACTGACCGGGAAAGCACGAAAACTTTTCTCACAGCACAACAATCGGTAGTAATTAATAATGAAAATAATAAATAAAAGTTTTAAATTTTTTATACTAAGATTGTCACTGGAATTCACCACTATTGCACTATCGAACAAACTGTTGGTTCGACAATTGAGACGAACGTGCGGTTTAAATTCTCTCTTGTTGGACAATTTAACTTTTTGTTGACGTCAAACTGTATTCAGGAAGTTCCTTTAGTTACTCCACTTGACCACTCGAATCTCTTTCCACCACCTCTGTGATTGCCGAGTGTACTTAGGTAGAAGTTAAGATAAAGAACAATGGAATTTAACAAATTTGCAAGATATTTCATGCAAACTTCCTTATTGAATAGTTAACCATTATTTTAATTGATTTATCTTCATTAAATCCAGCGATCCAAGAGTATTTAGCTTTCCAAATCGATGATTGATCGTCCAAAGTTTTTAAATCCTATAACAACAGAAGAGAAAAAATTTTTATTAAAAATATGGAAATTTCTGAATTAAAAGTGAAACAAAAAAAAGTGAAAAATGGAAATAAATAAATCTCACATTGTTTTTAGCTGCGAGAGGAAGTACCTGCGAATTTACATAACTCGTATATATTCGACTATAAGATAATAATCAAACAAGCTGTCTTTCATAACCGGAAGTAGGTCAGATAGACGATAGTGATAACAAACCAGCGAAAAGGCTTACTCTCTCGCTTATACACATGGATTTGCGTACATTTGCATCTAAATAGGATAAAAAAAACGGCTGTCCACGAGAATGACTGAATGTTTAATGGGGATTAAACAGATTACCGAAGTATACTTTAGCAAGAGTGGCGTCTGTGGTTCTTTTGAGATTAAAAACAAAGATGTACAAACTGATGTTAAATGCTTGTTTATACTTGTAGGTAACAAGTGAATGTAAACAATGTCTTGTATTCCTGATGACACATGATCTACTGCTACTTTTTTCCCGTTTTGATAAATTTAAAGGAACTCTTACGAGAAAAATTACAATTTCGAAAAAAATTGTACACTTGATTTCTATCAACTAGACCTTTATTGATCCAAACCAACCTGAATATTTTATTAAATTAATTTTAAAAGAGCTGTGTTCGAGAGAAACTAATTTGTTATTAACAAAAAAATGTATTGATCTGCTGTCAAATAGATCTCAATAACGTTTTTTATTAACTTTGCATTTGACAATCATTTTTTTTTTTTAATTTCAGTAAAAGTATTTTAAAAAATTATATCAAAATTTTTACTATATAGAAAATTAAGAAAACTCCTTTAAAGTCACAATTAATTTCACTACTTTACTTAATTTTTGAGGAAGATAAAGAAACAAGTAAACATAGTAGTGAATGGAAATAATGATAATGATAGTAATAACAAAAATACTTACTCTAATCCTTCGTCGGTACTCTAAACGTTCCATCTCTCATCGAACGTCGCCAAAAATGTTTGCGTTGGCGTTGACATACTCAAGTGGATTGAAATCTTGAGATCGACGAGGTTGTACAATAGACTGATTGTAATGGATCCAAAGGGTAATCCGTTTATCCTCAATGTTGATTACATTTCGGTTGTTCGACGGTTCTTTCTGTCATGACCGAAGAATCAACGATGAAGGATGGAGTGATGTAGGGATAAAAGATATTTACGTTTCGTCGAAGGCTTCTCGATCTAATTCACAAGAAATTTAAGCCTCACATTCGTATGAGGCTTCCCACGTCCAGTGATGATTCTTGAACATTTTAGATGGGTCAATATCTGCAACAAAAAAAACACTCCTATAAAAAATTGCTTCTTTTTTTTTATTGCATTCTGAAATGAATGCCATTAAAGTAGAAGCAATCAGATGAGAATAATAATAGAAATGGAATAGATGGTTGGAATATAAAAATTTATCTTGAATCTGCAGAAAACTCTTTTAGAGAAAATGAATAATGTCATACACGACCATAGTAATTACTATAAAGTTGGTAAAACAATACTTCAATAGTATACTGGAAGGTACAAGCATCTTCCTTCCAACTAGAATGACCTTTTGTGTGGCAAGAAAAATGTGTAACCAGATGATCATGGCACTTCATTAGCAAAAAGCTTTTACTAGCGCAACTGACTCGAGAGTATCCACTTTATATAGCTTTTATATAGTATAAAAATAGTCAGGTCTGAGAGCTTTCAAAATTTTTCTCAAGCTCGACTCTACTTTCTCTTTTGTCAGGGCTTTTTTTTCTCTCTATAAAACTCATTATTTTAGCATTACTCTTTATCAATTTCGAGAATTGACATTAAAGAGAGGTAACTACCAGCTTGGAAAAATATTTTCAAGCACTCAGTACCTATATCCAAAAATGGACTTTTAATTAATTTTAGGAAAGGTATTTAGATGTCAGAATTGAAAGTTGTCCGTTGTAAAATAATGACTATTGACTTTTATTTATTTTTTCAAGAAGTTTAAAATTATGAGAGAGAGAGAGAGAGTAAAAATTGATGGTTATATTGAATATTTTAAATCAAGAGCTTTCGCACTTTATTTATTTTCTTATAATATTAATATCTCATGAATAAAGAGCTACAATACTATTAGAAGAATAATGATTGAGTTTTTTAGAAAAATACTAAAAGAATGAAAAAACGTTTTGGTTATTCAAACAATAGTTGTTAATGAATAAATAATTTATGTTGGTAAACAAAGGTTTTATTCTAATTAAATGAGTAAATAAAAATGAGATATTAATATTAAGAAGAAATAATTAAAATATTTTTTACTAGAAAAAAAAAAATCACAAAGAATAATTAAATTAAACTAATGAAGTGTAGAGTAATTTGAACAATCGTGGAAAAGTTTTATTTTAATCCAGCGAGTTCCACACACTCTAATTACCACTCCACTGTGATGAAAACACATCAGAATGGTGAATAAAATAATTATCAATTTTAAAAATATTTTAACTATCCATATAAAAATATTCTGACTAAAATAATACTATCCAAAGTTAAAATGTTACCAGTCGAGAATTGAATTGAATTCAATATTCATAAATTAATGATTAATATAAAATCGTCGAATGTGGGAGAAGTAGTCGATAGTTTTTGGGTATTTTTTTTAATTTAAATTTATCAATTTGTCAATTAATGTCAGGTGAGAGACACATACAAGTTTTTGAATTCAAAAGTTACTCGATAGTATCCTCCTGTCTGATTTATCTATTTTTACGGGATGCCACCCGCTGTGTGTTCGGGTTAACGATTCTCTCTGGGGTTTCCGATGGAAAACGGAAGAGAGATTGGCGCCAGGCAATAAATAGAAATTTCCCTGGTGGCGGATCATTCGGAAATGGAATGAACAACAGCTACTTTTCCAAGAGATTGTTAAGATTCCATCTTAAAATATAGATATAAATAATTCGAGTTCTTTCATTTTTTCCAGCAGACACAATTGCTAAGTCAAGTCAACCTTGAAGCTCAAATATTGCCAATCAATTTCTTGCTTTCAATTTCAGGGTAATGAGACTTGGCCGAGTAGAAATATCACTATTTGATGAAGAAAATTGTAACTTTATGTCTTAATCAAAAGATTTAGTTTTTTTTTTTCATTGAGATTGAAAAATTACTAATAAAAAAATTCATTAGTGTTTTGATATTAAAAATTATATATATGTCTTAAAAATTAATTAAAGTTTTTAATTTGAAAAATTAATTTTGTTCTAAATATAATTTCTGATTGTTGAAAATTCATCATGTAAAAATACTAGCACATCTTTTTGCAAAAGAAGTTAATGTTTGTTCACCCCTCAAGCGTTTATTAATTTACTACTCCTAAACTACAAACGAATGAAAATTTTTTGAATTGAAAAGGCAGATTCAACTGACAAAAATAAAAAAAAATTTCAAATATATAACACACACCTTTATGCTGGCAAAGATTGTGAAACAATCAAAGAAACATCCACTTAAAGAAGTACTTTGTTTTGAATTAATGAATGTACCCTAGATTTAATCCTTTGTAGTTAATTTATATAAAGAGAATAAGTTTAAGTGAATGAAGCAAATAAGATCAAAAAATAATACAGTAAATTTCAATTATACAATTACTTCCTAGATGATATAAAATGAATAAGAGATTGTGAGTAATAGGAGGTTACCGTTATTCTTCTTCTCAAATAATTACGCGACGTTAATGATAGTTGGTTGAGTGTAGTTATATACATATACATACACAAGATTCATTAAAAAAATTTATACAACAGTTATTACTTACATAAATACACCGCAAAGACATTCAAGATGGAATAACTCTTGTGGTCAAATAATTTTCTCTTACTCTAAAACTGTGTAATTAATTTGATCAGAATAAACGTTTTTTATCTTCTTTTCTTCCGTCGTTTTAGTTCGCGAGAGTTTTTTAACAGTCTGCATTGATGAAAGAGTTTTAATAAAGTCTTGTGGATCTACGAAACTCGGCCGCAAGTAAAGAGAAAGAATAAAAAGAAGAAGAAAAGGTAAAAAACAAGGAAAGTTGATATAAAAGAAGAAGAAGAGACCGAAAATCGTGCCGACGTAGAGTATCAAGCAACGTCGGAACGCCTTAGCTTACTCGTTGTTACTGCAAAAACCCGCTACGACCAGAGAGAAGCCGCCACAGCAGTTCGTTGGATTGTTCCATCCTGGCATTTAACTTGAGTACAAAAAGCATCAGGAAAGATTGGGTTTTGTCGCGCGGATGAAGCGCATCCTGCCGATCCTTCAATTCCCACAAAATTCGCAACGCCCTAAACTTTTACTGACTGTACTCTGTCGAGGAGTCTTTCTTTTAGTTTGATGCCGTGTCTCATTGCTTATTTTAACTAGCTGATGCTGTACTGTTGTACTCTATACTTTGATCAGAACATTTTTTTGGTTGGGTTTGTAATAAAACCTCTACTTGCACCAGGAATTTATTCATTTGATTTTTTTTTTTTTTTTTATATATTTTTTCAAGATGATCAAAAAGCTTATTTATTCCAGGAAAAATTTATTACAATAGTTTAATTAATTTTGAATGATTGGTTACAATTTTAAGAATAAATTCTTAAATACCTATTTATTTAATAAAAAAAGTATAGTTAAGCTAATTTGTTGAATTAGATTGAAATAAAACCAATGAAAACAAAGGTAACATCGACAAATAAATGATTGTTGAAATGGTGTTGGTTTAATTACCAAGTGCGGAATTTTGAAAATCCATTTCCAATATCACTGGGATAAGTATCAATACATATTGGATATTCTCACGAGCTTCGTTTTCCTTTTGGATCACCTTCGATCTCAGCTGCCTCTCTGGTGTATCCATCAGCAAAGTGTACCTGAGAGTAACAGGGTCTGTGTGTACATGGCAAGCAACGGTACTGCTTGTCCACACGTTCATCACGGCTGCTGATCCATCTCAAGTCCACGCTTAAATTAAATAGGTAGAGCAAAAACTCACTATTTGTTATTGGATTTAGTAGAGGCCGCGCGAAAGGATCAAATCGTTATTCTCACGAAATTAGTTTTACCTCCACCCACTTGATTAAATTCCCAATACACTTTTAACATAAAAACGATAAAATTTAATTCAATTTATTTTTCTTCCAGTTAAGTAAATTTGATTGATCAATTTTTTGGCTTGCTTTTGTCGTTAATCCAATAAAGAAGCCGGAGGACTATGGCAAATAGGTAATGAAAAAAGACAAATGGATGGTACGAAATTCTATATAGATCATGTGCGTAACTTAAATTTTAGCCTGGTATGCCAAGCAACCAACCCTCTTTTCTGACTGGATGTGGCCTGGGGCAAATCAACTTCCCATTTCTCGTTCCAATCAAGCGCAGCTGGCGTAGGCTTCAACCCCCTTTAAGGCCCGGGGCACATCGACATACGACATACGGAAAGAAAACGCTCGATTGAACGGAGCAATAGTCTACTCTGCTTCTCCACTTGTGTACTATGCTACCAACACCCTACACTAAGAGAACTAATTCCCTTGGTAAGATGATCCTCAGGCTGTCTTCACTAGGCTTCTTTTCCTTTTAGGTACTTAGCTGACAACTTCTTTCTTTCATGTTTTTAGACTCTTCAATGACGTCTAGAATATACACTGTCTTGGTCAAAGCATTACTCCAATTACAGCCGTAAGGTAGCTTGGCTTGTGAATGTTTCATTCACTTTTTCATGAAATTTAAACCTCCTCACGAAATCATCCTAGTTTAGAACTAGATACATTCATGTTTTTTATCATTGACAACAATGGCAGGAGAATGAATTGATAATTCAATTGAATTATCATTGAAGTCAATTTCATTTTATCAGTTTTCATCATTGATTTTTAATGTTCCTCAGTTAATTACTTTGTTTTTATGGCCATATGAAATTAATAGAAAATTGGATAAATAACTTATAAATAAAAACAATGCCGTCAATAAATTAAAAATTGGATCAAATTTAATCAATAAACTTCAATTACGTGTCTTTGTTGACAATTTTAGAACAAAGCTCTGAAAATCAAGTGTTATCAACCAATTTAGCTTGAATCAAATAAAAATTGACAAAAGTGCTCTCCTTAACATCGATTAAAACAACTCATCGGTAATAAAACAAAAAAAAAACATGATAGTGCTGACATATCTTTTCTCCGCAGTATTTTTCTCATGAATATCAAATGCTAAATTGCCTGATTCAATGAATTTATCATTTAATAGTGAATTTTTTTTTTATTATTAATTCAGTAAGTTCGAATAATAAT